ACATGACCGTTGGACACTTTCGGTTTCTACATGGCTGTAAACTATGTCATTCATTCACCTACTTCACCTCCCTGTGCAGGTTTGTGAGGTCATCTGTGCTCGTGTGTTATTAGCCGCGGGGACTTTGTAACGCCCGCCAAATTGGACAGCAGACGTTTCCGACCCGTTTCGCGCGATCCGGCCACAGTGCTAAGGCAGGTACGGATTTTTTTGGGCGGGAGGTTTTAACTGAATAACAAAACAACCTCCACAAAGGGGCCCACGATTCCCTCCGACTGCACGGAACAGTTCCGTGGTAGCGACCTGATGCCAGTGTGTTTATCAACTGTAGACGTGAGCAAATGAGCTGTTACAGCTGCAGGAGGCCGGCTGCCCCCTGGTTTTGCGTTTTGCATTTTGTGACAATTTCTCACTATGGAAAAAATATGTTATCACTTAATGGTAATCGTGCCGGTCAAAGATCGACCGCAGGTTTAAGCGCTGTGCTTGCGATGCAGTATCCTGGCCTGTGCTCATTCAAATCGGATGTATCTACAAAATACCAAAAAAACGTACCTGTGCTGATATTCAGATGTCGATACAGTCAAATAAAATAACACTATAATGGTCAATTAGTTTTCTGTTAGTTTCAGATTCATGCGGCCAAATTAATTTGTAATTCGCAGGCTTTAGAAAGTGCCGCAAAATGTTCTTTTCACATAATTTCTGCATCGGTTTAAGTTTTTGGTTTTATGGAACTGCAGAACGTGAACAAACGCTTGATCACACCGGCAAAACATTATGGTAAATTCCCAAGAGTCTACGTCTGGCCACTTTTTAAAGCCGCACCCTTCCGTGTTCTCTGGTCGGAGAGTCGAAGGGCCCCTGCAGCAAATCCCCAGTGGAAGCAGTGTGGCCCTCAGAGCCCCTTGACCGAGGCACTTAACCTCCATCGAGTCTCCAGGCATCGGAGCGTAGGAAGCGGCTGGTCGTGGAATGCAAAACCTCGCAGCCGAAAGCAGCCCGAGTCTGAGAAGAACACAGTAATGAAATAATCAACTCAGGATATAAACGCAATGGCCTGTGATGCTGTAATTAAATTGCCGGTACCCCACTGCATCGCCTTGTGCGGGGCGATGGAGGTTGGTGGGGTTACTAGTCAGTGAAAATTAATCAAATTATTATTTTCATAGGTCTAACACAGCGGCTTCCATCCAGTTAATCCATCAGCTCGCCTTTTGAAAACGGGGCTTTTATCCTCCTCTGTGATGAAAAACAGGAGTCTTTGTGTTTCCTGTCAGTGGTTACGGACGGGGGGAGGGATTATTATTTGATGTTTTGAGATAATCCAGCGCGGCATTCCTCCCTCGGGCAACCTCAGCTCAGAGTGTGAAGGTCTGCAAACTTCAGCCACTGTACAGCTAAAGTGGATAACTTCCACACTCCGTATGCTCACGCCGCTTGGCGCCGGCTGAATCAAATATTTCCACTGGTAGGGTGTTATAAAGTAAAACCTGTCGCCGTCACAGCAGTGTTAAATCCAGCCGTCCCACCGGTAAAACAAAGGTTTTGGTCAACTTTGCCGGGTTTGCACAAAGCCACCAGTGTTCATGTGCTACAGTAAATCGTGAAATGAGACTGAGACTCCCGTGATCCTTTAGTCCACAGCTTCAGGCTCAGTGAGCAGCGGGAATCCGGGAGGTTGTTTAGCCTCCCCAGAGTTCCCCGAGAGTCCGCTTCATCTCAGGCAAACGCTGGATGGGCGATCCAGGGGCAAGGTGTAAAAAGATCGGGACAAACAGGGTGTTGGTTCCTTTGTGATATTCAGGGGCTGCATTGACGGCGTGGTGACAATCCACGTGAACAGTGGTGAGTACGGCAATTTACTCGAGATGTTTTTATCACAGCTTTGTGCCACAGTTGTCTAGGAACAAGTCGGTCCTCATGCTTTTTAAAAATCCTATTTCGGATGTATTTAGTTTGTTGCAGTTTCAAATATGCTGTGATTCTCTGTTCTGTAGATAATATTAGAGTAATGGCTGAGCGTATCGGAAATATGCTTATTAGCTTTGTTATGCTCATAGGCTTGACTTAGTCCCGAGGGGAAAACCTCTTCCCCCACAGAATTATACTGACATGTCAGCTGATATTGTCACAGTTAGGATTTGGACGATGGGAGGTGAGTACTGAGCTTTTTAAAAATGGCTGTACATGTCCAGTGAAGCCCCACAAATCTCTGAAAGCAGCAACTACCACCCAATGTGGTTAAAAGAATCATGTAGGGGATTGCCCCTCCAAACATTCCCATAAAATCACTAGGAAAAGATTATCAGCACAAAATATCTGGCCTACCACGAGCCTCAGGGGAGCCCTGTACAGTGTGGACATAAGGCTGGAGGTTATATTTAGGAGACTCCTCTTTTACAAGGTATGTTTTTCACACAGGTTCAAGAGGAAAGGGGGTAAAGCCACAGGAATGTTTACCTATTTAGGACATGGGAACTAGAGTATGGCGAGGAGGTAAGGAGTTCGAGGTCTGATGTTGACCACATTGGGCACTCCTCTTTCAAAGGGTTCATACAAGGCACGAAGACCACTTAACATATCTCACGGTGTCTTTGACCTGCAGCAGATGAACGTGTCTGGTATGAAGGCATAAAAAAGATCAAATGATCCTCCAAATAACAAACTACACTAACCTTTCTGCTCTGACAGTTGGCAGACTGCAATCAAATCAATGTCATGTTTGGCTTAAAGGTTAGCTGCATTGTATTGACCCTGACCCCTGACCTTTACCCAGGAAAACCCGTAGAGTAACTTGATCCTTATTCCACTCAATTCAATATTAGGCTGTGAAACTTCATTTGCATTGTAATGTAATTCATTCCATGTTATTGTCTCATTAACTTCATATTGCAAAATGACACCAGTCACTTGCCTTAGCGTCCATATGAATAAATGATAATCTGCCATTTGGTGGGATTGGACAGAGCGAACCCGAGACCTCCCGTTTGTAACACGATCTTGTTCACTCACCGTCATTTAACGACATCAAGGCCCATCTTTAAAGGCTTTTGCATGCCGGCTCAAAGGGTTTTGTCCGGTTATACGGAGGTCGTGGGAGGGACCAGAATCCAAATCACCATAACCAGAAGTACGCCGCGGCCAAAGGTGAACATTTGCCACATTCCCTCCGCTGTAACGTTGTTTCCTGACGGAAGCTTTTCGAAACCTCACCGTTATACAACAGGATGGACGAAGGGTTTCGCAAAGCGCGTGTGACTGGATTGCAACGCATTGCCCCTCGCCGTGGATGCCAGACACCAATAAAATAAAAAAAATGAAACGCCGTAAAGCACGCAGTAACCGTATGGCCAAATGCCTGGTCCGAGTTAGAGGCCACGGCAGCATATTTACAGGGGGCCGGGGTTTTGTCGGGACAGAACAATGGGGACTGTATTGAAGGGCCCTCAACGCAGGCATTTTATTTGGCCCCCAGGAGGCAAAGGGTCTGCATTTTGAGAGATGACATGCAAACCGTGTGAGTATGTGAATGGAGTTCAAATGTGTTGTGTATGATTGCAGGACTTTTTACCACTCGTGTTCTCTTCTAATGAGGGAGGCAAAACGAAATATTTTCTTAAGCTTCATTAAGTATCAAACTAGCTTTTCGTTGAGGCAGTTGCAGTATGTCATCTACCTGAAGCCTGATCTTGAATTGCGGTTCCAACAGTTGCGTCTTTTATTTCCGATGAGTTAATGCAGAAAATACAGATCGTAACAGTGGCCACTTGTTCAGTCCTCCTGCTGTGATGTCTAACGTTAAGATGTAAAGACATAGGGGCCACATGCAGTGGAGAATACAATGAATAAGCCCTTGACATGTTGTGGAAACACAGGTACGCATGTGTGCATTTCTCAAAAAGTCACAGTGCAATGACCACCTTTGCATGTGATTTATACACCCCCTAATAAAACCGTGTATGTCTATACATTGGAATGTCATTTTCTGAATGAAGTCCTTGGAGCAGAGTGCTAGATGGAGCCTGGACGTATTTTAGTGTGGCTATAAATGCTCAGCTGAATGGGCACAGGCAATGACATAGCCCATTAAATGTGCTGAGCTGCTCGAGGTGGCCCGAATAGTTCGTCCACAACAGGGAACCTGAGATAAATAAAAAGGAACATTAAATAAGAAAAAACAGTAAAAAAAACAAAGAAGTAGTTACATAGGGGTGAATATCTGTAAATTTTGACGTATTTATTTTTCATATTTGTGTACTCTTATACTCCATAGTAATGTTTATGTTCATATTTAGGTACTACAAGCTGGATACGGTGTTGAGAATGAGATCTGAGATCTTTTTTTTTTAATCTATCAATGCGGTTGATCTCTTACGTATTCCGTAAACATCATAGACCACGTGAAAAGAAGTGGTTTCGTAACCCATCATTGAATAACCGGAACCGGCGAGAATCGACGCAGCCAATCGGTGCCCCTCTATAAACGTTGGATCGCGGCCCGGCTGCCTCTCGCAGAGCCCCCTCGCTCGGAACAAACCATTTTGGCGTCCGCGTGCGGGGGTGCTCGCCGGTTGCACAACTACAGGAAATAGAGGTAGGCGACACAATGTCGAATTCTCTGCCATGTGTACTTTCACCCGAGAGACCCAAGCGAGGACGAGGCTCCAGACTGGCAGCTTTTATTTGAAACACCCGTAAGAGAGCGCGGTCTCGGGCTTCCACGCGCCTCTCTCGTTCAGACCCGCGCGGATAACATCGCCGGACCCGTGGAACTGTTACATGTGTGTTCCGCAACGCGGGGGACGAGGGAACCGGTGAATTACCACGTTTGTTGATATTATGTCATATTGTAACTCATTGCGTCGGGGAAAAAAGGATCAATTGGGAAAGGGAGGCGGACAACGGGTGACCTTTGGTCTTTTATTTATTTTATTTCATTTTATTTTTTTGTTTGGTGTCCACATGGCCACAGCAGGCTGTGGAAGGTGGAGCGCGTGAATGAGGTCACCATGCTATCATAACAATAACAATAGTCATAGTATGAATAGTAATAACAACGGAACGATCTTCCGCAACCACTGCATCTTTAATGGGAAATATAAAAAGTGTGAAAACAAATAATATCAACTGACTTGGTTGGACAACACACACAGGTCCATGTAGAATGCAGGAGAAAGAAATGCCACAAAAAACTTAAATACTATAAATACATATTCATCTGGTAGTCAGACTATTAATAAATGCTTTCTCAAGCAACGTCAAGTAAAACCAGATATGAATAGATGGACCATGAACCTTTTTACATCAGACGTTTCTCATAGTAGGAAACGCACAGGTTACATTGTCGAGGGTTTCAGTAAGTGTCGCACAATGCAGCATACATTAATCTCAAGATGCATACATGTGCAACTATGTGGTTTCAAAAATGTTTTGTGTGTTACACAAGTGGAAAATTGTCAAACGTTGTCCTAGAGTGGGCTGCAGCGTCGAGATAAAGGACACACGCCCATCTTGGTCCGTCGTAAGACACGCATGACAGATAAGTGAGGCGGTCAAACCAACAGACACCCGGGTTCCCGTCGTACACCGTGCTCTGTGTTCCCCTTTGAAATGCTGCCGTCTGTCCACTTCCCATTTGTTGACACACTGCGGCGAGGTTCTCTCCAACCATTGTGTCCTTCTTATCGCTCGTGTTTGCCTCTCTCCTCAGGGGTGTGTTCGTGTGCCTCTGCCATAACCAGTGATGGCCGAGCAGTCGCCCCCGCAGCACGGAGACCCGCTGCTGAGCAAACTCAACCAAGGGAGCCTCCCCAACGGCAAGGTGGCCTCCAAGGACAGCCTTCGCGCCCGGGGACAGTGGGCGAACAAGGCCGAGTTCCTCCTGGCCGTGGCGGGGCAGATCATTGGCCTGGGCAACGTCTGGAGGTTCCCCTACCTCTGCTACAAGAATGGAGGAGGTAAAGCGTGTTTGGAGATGGAGAAAGGGTGTCAGCTTTAAAATGGGAAGAGGTGTTGTTTAGTAAATTCTGTCTGTCTTTCTTCCTCCCCTCCTTTGGATCCCTTATACCCCCTCCCAATTGTTGAATTTTTTAAATGTCAGGTTAATATAACCAACACAATTTTAAAACTGGCTTTATTGTGTTGTTTCCTGGTGGTAGAGTTCTGATTTCATCCAAGATGGGGTAAAAGCTATTTAAATGTTAGCCAATGGTAATCCTGGCTTGAATGTAATCGGTAAAGGTCTTCACAAGGACAGCACCTTGCGTGTCTGTGTGTGTCTGTGTACCCAGGTGTGTTCTTTATACCCTACCTGTTGTTCCTGGTGCTGTGCGGCGTCCCCCTATTCCTCCTGGAGACATCGCTGGGACAGTACACCAGCCTGGGAGGAGTCAGCGCTTGGAGGACCATCTGTCCATTATTTGGAGGTAGGCTTATCTAATCATGTCTTCCGTACGCCATGTTATGCCAGGGATGATAACAACGTTTGCCCTGGAGGTGCCTTATATACCTTTCACCCTTGATTCTGACCTAAAACCTACAAACTAATGGTCAATGGTTTGATATGATGGCAAAATAGATACAAATGGGATTGGATAGATGTGACCCTGCCAACATCTGTCTTTTTACCTTCCCTCTCCTTTACCTTCCTGCATCTCCGCTACCTGTAATCTTCATCTGTGCTGTCGCAAGCGTTCCCATGTCCACATCCATACAAGAACCAATTTTACAATTTTGACCCGTCTCCGCCTGCGCGTCGAAACTAATCAGTAGACAAAAACCTGTTATCCAAACAATGGATCTCGATGGATCCCGGTGAAGGACAACCTGTTGCAATGCTTTTTAGGACAAAAAGAACACTGAGTGAATTTGCTTCGTTTGCACACATGATATCAATCTGGATTCGTCAATGTCTCCGGTTGTTATTTGTCTTATAGGTGAAGTGCGATGACTAGTTGGTTAAATGACATGAGAGAAAACCGCGGCGGTTGTCAATGCAGATTTATTTATTTTTTTACTTTCACGATTTTTAAAAAAGGTACTACAATTTTTTTTATTCAGTAAAAGATAGATTCCATTGTTGTATCATTAGAATAATCTTTGATTCAGTTAAGCAGTTTTTTACTTTATTACAATGCATTGTATTTCATACACTCACTGTGAATAAATCTAGTGAGATAAAAATACTAATACCTCTCAAATGCAACTCCGAATGAGTGCAAAATAGCATCGAAGTAGAACTGAAGTACAATTCCTGAGTAAATGTACTTGGTTATGTTACGTCACTAGTCAATAATAAACAGGGTGCAACCGAATCATGTGCTGGTGCAACCACAGGGAAATCCTTTTAATTTAGAAATATGCAACTTTCCAGCACAAAACTAAACCTGAGAAGGTCAGAAAACACCTCTCAGTCCATTTGGTGTGCAGGTGCAGCAAAGCTGGACCACCTGGGAAACACATTGTAAACAGAATATGTGTACGTATTTCCCTTCTTTCAACATCCCAATTATGAACCTATATGCGCTGCTCTGCTCCTTTGGCCTGCGCATTTGCACATACGTGCACGGGGGGGTTTGCCGGTGTTTTGACGACGGCCCGGTCTTGTGGAGACCACGTATTCCTAACCAGCACCACCAGGCCTACCAAGAAGCAGGTGGGCTATGTAGCAGTTAATCAATCCTCAAATGGTAGTCCTCCCTGGAACTCTCTCTCGGTGCAAATCCAAAGAGTAAATCATACTCCCAGGACGTGGGAGGGCAACTAACAGGCGGAGCCCAGCGCCCTGAGATTTGTGATGTGACTGGCCGGCCTGCTCTACCACACAGGCAGAACTACTCCTCCTCGACCCTCAAAGCTCTGGAGGACACTGCCAAGGACAGCTGAGAAAAGTAAACAACTGCACAACAACCAAGCCTACTACGTAACTTTCCCCATTGATGCAGGATTGTAAATCTCCACTCGATGACCTCGATCTACTGTCTTTTCAAAGCAGGGTGAAAACTAAAAGTAAATGAACTCCTGAGGCCGTAGGAAAAGCTAATGACTGGGCCTCAGACCCTGATTGTTGGCGACTACGCTGTTGGAAGATGTTGGAACGACGTGCAGCAAGAATACCAACATACGTTCTCTTAACATGAGAGAGAAGATCCTGGACATCGTGGCTGACCATCCCCACGACGAAAAACATTGTGCACACGGGCGGCCGTGATATCGTGAACCAAAAGTCTGTAGAGTGCAGACATCTTTTTAAGGCCGCTGGAGTTGCCTCAACAAGTCACGGGTAAAATTGTTAACCTCTAACTTATTTCTCAGCCTGCGTCACCCGTCTGTTCCCATTGCCAAGGACGACAGAGGTCTAAACAAGAGATAACCACACAGCACCATCACAGAGATCTCGCAATGATGCCTCCGCCTAGAAGCGACAAGAGGAGGTGTCCCATCAGGGGCCGCCTCCGATGACCCACTTCCTCCACCACTCCGAGGGGAGGCGTCCCTAACTCCCACTTGCATCCTTAAACTCCATCCACATCCCATTCCTCTTTCACACTCTCCCCCATCCTCCCCCCTCGTTCAGGGCATGGAGTTCACTGACTACATGAAAGAACTGGTCATTGTTGGAGACAAACTCCACGCCCTACTTGCTCTCATATACCCCTCCTCAAGGGCGCCCTGCCCCCCCCCCCCTCACACACACCTCCCACAGGTCTCGCTAAACATCGCTTGTCTCCCCGAGTTGATAAAAATAAGAATTGATATATTCTGGGTCCAGGCTACATCGATAATGACAACAAGGATTCTCTCCAGGAAAAGTCGGGCCCCCTGTATGCAATTCTCCTCAATTCCTGTCCCGATAGTTGAAAAAAAGGGAAAGGTTACAAAGCAACAACGGTAAATCTGTGAATAGATCAAACCTAACATTCATTCCTCGTCTGCCTGTCCAAATAAATGCGGCACATAACGCTTTAATCCTCAAACTAAGCTTAATTAAATGTCAGCTCTCTGCCAGAAAAACATTTTTAATAAATGCTTGTAGGCATTTAGACTTCAGGCACACACTGGACTTTTTGTTTGAAACTGAAACGTGGTTAGAACAAGATAACAGTTCAGCTGTTCTTATTGAATCAGCGCCTCCCAACTTCAGTTTCATGAACACTAGCATCAACAATAGTATCAACTTCTTTGAGTTAAGTGAACTGTTGTCTATAACCTGTATTGAATATGACTGTATTTTTATTGTAAGTTTAATATCCACTTGATAATGGGGCACAGAGGGTTGATAGAACTATGTGGTGTCCTTGATAACTATGATCTGACTCCACCAGTAAACTATTCATACAGACGTTTTCCTCTCTGCCAGCCCTCTCCTGCATCTCAGTCAAGAATGTTTACTAATACCGAGAATACTTTGTGTCTGTAGTAAATTGCACATTGAAGAAGAAAAAGATATGTGGTGTTCCCCAAGGTTCAATACTGGGCCCCCTTCTGTTAATCATATACATTCTTTCATGACCTCAGTTTATGGAAAACTACAAAGAGTGTCATCACAGTTATGCGGATAAAACACAACATCCATAACAATTCAACGGCTGGTAAATGTATTGAACAAATCAACAACTGGATGTGCAAAAACGTTCTTCAGTTAAACAAAGAAAACACAAGTAATTGTTTTTGGTAACAAGGCCAGAAATCTAATTGTAATTATCAATTTGGACCTCAGCCTGAATTGCCATGTCAAGACAGTTATAAAATCTGCCTACTATCACCTTAAGAATAAATCAAGGATTAGAGGACTTATGTCTCAACAAGATTTGGAAAACCTTTCTTTTTCAAAATTGTATATGTCTCTGTAAAAAGTTAATCAGAAAGCTACAGCTGATCCGGATCGCTGCAACTCGAGTCTTCACTAGGACCAGGAAAATGGATCACATCACTTGTTCTCAAGTCTTTATACTGTCAAACAAAGAAGTGAGTTCAAAATCATGCAGTTGGTTTATAAAGCACTGAATGTATATGGCAAAAGTACATTTATGATCTGCTGATATCTTATGAACCGCCACGAAACCTTAGGTTGTCTGGGACGGGTCTACTTTCTTCAAAAATCGAAATTAAACCTGGAGAAGGGGCATTCATTTTTTGTGCTCCACATATCTGGAAGAACCCACGTGCCTCTGTGGGAACCCCTCACTGGTTTTGCACAATAGAGTGTGTTTCATCATCAGACGAAAGCCTGAATTTCATTAGAGGACACCACAAACAGGCGTTTGTGTCGCTAAACAACTCCACTCGAGGCCTGACAAGACCATCCTTCACTCCTAACAGAGATGTCCTTGAGGTGGGCCGCGAGTCGAGTTGCCTGAATGAGTAGATCCCTGCGCCTCACACACATCGTCTGCCTCCCTGCAGGTCTCGGCTATGCCAGCCAGGTGATGATCCTGCACGGCTGCGTGTACTACATCGTCATCCTGGCGTGGGCTTTGTTCTACCTGAGCTACAGCTTCCAGGCGGTGCTGCCCTGGTCGCACTGTAACAACACATGGAACACCGGTCAGTAGCGTCGCTGTGCGACGGGGGGCCGACCGTCGACAAGATTCGACTCCACGTGGGTGAAATGTCACATTGTGTTGTTTTCTCCCGCAGAGGCGTGTGTCCTGTTCGACTGGCACAACCAGGCGGCCAATGGGAGCAGCGTACCCGCGAACGCCACGTCCCCCGTCGTGGAGTTTTGGGAGTGAGTGTGGCTTCTTGGTTTCTCACTTCTTTTTTTGTTATTCTTTGCACATGAACAGCAATGTGTGTGTGCGCGCGTTTGTCTGTGTAGGCGCGAGGTGCTTCGTCTCTCCAGCAGTTTAGACGAGCTGGGTCCGGTCAGCTGGAAGCTGGCTCTGTGCCTCGCCGCCGTTTGGTTCGTCTGTTACTTCTGCGTCTGGAAGGGCGTGAAGTCCACCGGGAAGGTGAGCGGGAGGCGCGGCGACATCATCATCAGCGTAGCGGGACGATAGCAGCTCTGTGATGGGTTTCCTCTCCCAAAGAAAGCATCGTGTTCGGTGCATCAGGCCAAAAAGCCACTTAATAATCATTGCAAAATGTAATCCAGTTAGTAGTTAATAGTTATCTGTACTTCCATGAATACATTACAGACAGGAATTGCTAATAGCCAATTCACCACATGATAAACGGTGTAGGTTTGCCAAATTACAACAAAAGGGTTCATGTCTTGCAGCCAATTAGCTGAATCCATTGTCCATTGAGGCCACAGTTCTCCCCGGCGTCAGACTAAGAAAGCTGCGTCTTTTTTTTCAGTGGAGCCGCGTGACCGATGGTGGTAAAGTCCCTCTGCGGTCGTTGCTCTGTCCCCCCTTTCGCTCCTTTGGCAAACGGAACAAGGCACTGGCCACCCAGGCGTTTTTTGTCCGATTTGTTTGTTGTGCGGCTGCCACTTTCCAGGGTTCCCTCCTTGGGTACGTCAGCTTGTGCGTCCCTGCTGTTTTCTCTGTCCCTGTGCCGGTCCTCAACCACAACCCCCCTCCTCCATGTGTACATTCTAGGTGGTGTACCTGACAGCCACCTTCCCATATGTGATGCTGTTTGTGCTGCTGGTGCGCGGTGCCACCCTGCCGGGAGCGGCCCAAGGCATCATCTACTACCTCAAGCCCGACCCGGCGCGCCTGGCCGACCCGCAGGTACGACGTCTCATGCGCTTCAGGGAGAGTTCAGGCGAGACACAAATAGTGTGTGTCAAGTACATTGGGTTTTTATCCGAGAGTACAGGACTGCAGAGATGTTATTCTGGCTTGTCTCACTCTACAGGTATGGATGGATGCGGGTACCCAGATATTTTTCTCATATGGAATCGGTTTGGGAAGTCTCACAGCACTCGGCAGTTACAACAAATACAACAACGACTGCTATAGGTGAGATCCTTCGTCGCATTCCCCGTCCTCTTCGCGTCGGACGGACCTCATTGGCTGAAATGTAAGACGTGAGCCTCGGCCAGCCAGGCAGCTCCCGGAGGGAACGGCTGGAATGGACAGAGAAAACACACTGATAGAGCCACACCTTTAGAGAACGGCTCTCGCTGCCGTGTTTCCCACACTCTAGGTTTCCCCCACACACACACACACATGGCAAGAGCCGAGCACTTAGCTCTCATCCTGTGCATACAGTAATAAGCCCGAGCGCCGCAATTCAAGGTCCAAGATCCACAGCAAAGTGGATTCCTTTCTGCATGCATTTGTTGAAGTCGTGTCCCGGTTTGACGCTGATTTGTGTTCTGTTGGTGTCGCCCCGCAGGGACTCTTTCCTCCTCTGCCTCCTGAACAGCGCCACCAGTTTCCTGGCGGGTTTCGCCATCTTCTCCGTGCTGGGCTTCATGGCCGAAGAGCAGGGCGTGGACATAGGTGCCGTGGCGCAGTCAGGTGAAACGAGAAGAGGAAGTGTTTAGTTCTTCGTTGTTTACAGTCAAACAAACCCCATTGGAGGAGCCAAACCGGTTACATGCATTAGTCCTTCCCACTCCTTCCTTTGTGCCATAAAGCTCTACGGTTGATCAAAACTACAGTGCCCAGATGCTTCAGCAACACAGCATGACCTTATTTCACTGACCGTACATTTCTCAATTTGTGTTTTGTTTATATTGGTCAAATCTTGCTTCTATCGTACATGTGTATGTCAGGATAACATGTATTTACTTATTACACATTACTTACGTATTTCTTTTGGTGGCTCCTCTCAGGGCCTGGCCTGGCCTTCATTGCCTACCCGAGGGCTGTATCCATGATGCCTTTCCCCCAGCTCTGGGCCGTCTGCTTCTTCCTCATGATCATCATGCTGGGGTTGGACACCCAGGTAGACACCCACACACACACACGCACTTTGATGAATCCCTTGCGGTGGCTTTAAATCTGACCCCGCCTCCCCTCCGTCACCCAGTTTGTGAGTCTGGAGGCCCTGATGACGTCGGTGACTGACCTGTACCCTCACCTGATCCGCCGAGGCCAGCGCAGAGAGCTGCTGCTGCTGCTCGTCTGTGTGGTCTGCTTCCTGATGGGGCTGGTCATGGTCACGCCGGTAGGTCAGGCCCGGGACGGTTTGGGCAGGAGGTGCACGTAATGCTCTACTCTTTCATATATTTTTTCTCATGATGAGGAATAATGTTGTTCTTCCTTTCTTGTGTGTGTGTGTGTCTGTCTGTGTCCACCACCACGCAGGGTGGTCTGTATGTGTTCCAGATCTACGACCATTTCTCCTGCAGTGGAGCCAGCCTGCTGCTTCTCTCCATCTTCCAGTCCCTCGCCATCGGATGGATCTACGGTAAAAATGCCCCCCCACCTCCTATCCTTTGCCCCTTGCCTTTCCTCTGCTCTTCTTTCCAGTCTCCTGTCATACTATTCTTGTCTTTTCCCTCTCCTGTACTCCCCTTTCACCCTTTTCACCTTCTCTTTTTCATAGATTTCTTTACCTCCTTTCTATTTCCTTAAGTCTTTGTTTGTTGTTTATATTCTTTTCTTTTCTCCCCTTTCTCCCCTTTCTTCTATCCCCTCCCTCCCTCCATCTCTCTCTCCTCTACATCCCCACCGAATGCCCAAGTTCCTTTAATTGTAGACTTATTTCATTTTTTTTTTAAATGGCCTACCATCACATTCCATCACAGAATTTCATTAAGTTCGGTTAGGAGCTCATTAGTGTGACAACAGGCTGAATAAATCTTAGTTTAATAGCAGTCAGTACACACATAAGACATAAAGATGGAATACTGCCATTAATTAAACTCATTTATTTAGTATTTCTCCACTAATGAAAGTAGTTCCTATAATCTGATTAACACACATTCCGGTTAGAGTCAGTAGACAGTATGTTAACATGGCTGCAGCTACCCACTGGAGACTGGCTCCTCGCCAGGCCCCTGTCTGTCTCCTCCAGACCCTAAATCATCCCTCGGGCCCCGTTGCCTCTCCCCTCTCAGTCTGGCAGCCCCAGGGAGCCCCTATCCCAGCCAGACCTGGGGCCCTGGAGCCCTTCCAAAGACACTGTTTGTTTAAAAGAGTGGGATGTTCCACGTGCGTCCATCAGCATCAACATTTTGTAATCTGGAAAGAATTCAAAGATGTGTGTGTGTGTGTGTGTGTGTGTGTGTGTGTGTGTGTGTTGGTGGATCTGAATATGAATGCTGTTTTGGAGGTGAGCGGAGTTGTTTTGTTTTGTGGACCGGGTAACGCAGCACTCCTCTCCCCCTCTTTATGACTGGGGGGGGGGTTGACAGTTTTAGAATCACTCTAACGTAAACTAACACTCCTCTGCTGATTGCTGCGGCAGGGCGGGGTTATTTTAGAAAAGGGACACCTACTTGTATAATTTCCACATCACATTCATTCCATGGGCTTATTTTTAGTTTTCCCATTAAACATCAGAAGCTTTAGTGACATAGCAGCATCTCTAAGGTAGATTCAAGTCGAGCAAGGACGCAGACTACCAGGCTATAATTAAATGCTTATTTCTATTAGATCTTTGAGAGTTAAACACCCTTGTCTCATTCACATCTTTTCCCACTTCCAAGTTAGTAAGTCAACAAACCCGTCGCCCACCAAACCAGTCGTGGTGAAGCTGTTCTTGTTTTGCCCGCAGGAGCCGAGCGCTTCAACGGCAACATCAAGGACATGACCGGCCACAGCCCGCTGCCCGTCTTCAAGCTGTGCTGGAAATACTTGACCCCCGCCGTGTGCACCGTGAGTGACCCCCGCACCCCGCCCCACACCTGTCCTGTGTGGACTCGCATCCGACTGTATCCCCGCGTAGCCCTCAATCTCTCTGTGACCCGGCCGCCCTCTGCTCGCGCCCACAGGCCACCTTCGTGTTCTCCCTGGTGAGCTGGTCTCCGTTGAGCCTGGGGAAAGGCCTGGTCGCGCCGGCCTGGGCCACCGCGCTGGGCTGGCTCCTCACCTTGTCCTCCGTCTCGCTGCTTCCTGCCTGGGCCGTCTACGCCCTGGCCAGCACCCCCGGCACCCTGCCGCAGGTCACACACCGGCGCGCCCTCTTTGATTCATTCAAATATACACAGGAGCTACATTTTTCTTTTTAAACCGAGCACGCGGCGGTGAAGCGGTGGTGAGCATGTTGGTTAACTTTTCTTTTTTTTGACCCCCCCACAGCGCTTCCAACGTCTGTGCAGTCCCGCCAAAGGCCCCTCCCTGGCGCTCCCCTACAGCGTCGCGCTGCCCCTGACCGAGAAGCCGAAGGAGCAGAACACAGACTTCATCCAGGACCGTATGACCCGATGATCCGTGGGGGGGGGGCAGCTCGCTCAGGGAGGAGGTGCAAGCTCGACTCCTTGATCCCTCGGTGAGGGGACACAGCTGACCGGTTACAAGAGTTGGCTCACCCTACGACCCTCGGCTTTTTTCTTTTATGCACTAGTCTCATCACTGTGCTTGTGGAACATGTAATAAAAACCCCTGTAGGTTTCCGAGGCTCAGGGGGGGCGACTAAATAACTTTTCTTTTTTTTATTATTAGGCCGGCATTAGTGAGCAATCTGGCCCTCCACTTTACTCTCTGTGAGAGATCACTGCACGCTCCTCTTTGACTCTTCACTGAATAGGTTTTGGGTGCCGATATCCTCTGATGACACTCTGACGTGTGTGTGTGTTTGTACACTGATTTGTCTGGACGTGTGTGTGTGCGCTTTACCATCTGTGATCACGGAGCTCGAATGCTTCCAAACGGGCCGTAGGTTATTTTACTGCCAATGCATTGAGTGCTTAACTTGATGTCATGTCATCGTGGCTTAAATTACTGATATGTTCAGTAACTGTTTTCATCAGTTATACTCCTGTAAAAGTCGGCGGGAGGGTTTTTTTGTGTTTTTTTGAGCTTCTTGTCTCAAATGCACACGTTTTAAGTGCAGTTTCTTGACGAATTAAAGAATCAAACTTTTTTTGTACTGTACCAAAAATAACTATCATCTATCCAGCTGAGTGAAGCGCAATCGTAGTGTCTGAATCCGCAAGTACTAGTACAATGTTGCAATATTGCTGCTACTTTGTTGACGAATCCAACATTTTTATTATTTTTCATTCTAGACCTGCAACGTTTTAACTGGAATTGTTTTAATGAGAAAAAAATGTCACTCCAACACAACTCTTTAACTGTAACATGCAGTAGAAGACAAAGAGCACGAGGATCGGCGCTGTCTGTCTTGGGTGAGCGTTGGAGTTTAACATGTTTAAAGATGAATACATTTACAGACGTACTGTTCGTCCTCGAACTGGATGACATTTTAATCGGATTCTCCTCCAAAATTCATGTATAGCCCATCTGCTTACCTCTGTTTACAGCTGTATTTATGTGCCTTTATTTTAATCTTTTTTTTCTATGCATAATTTTTCCTTTTTTTTTTTTACATGAATATATATTTATATTGTATTGTGATAAAAGAGTTTCTGTTGACTCTCTGTTCATTTCTTGCAAAAGACAAACGTGAGATGCCACGTGTGCATGTAGATGTGTGGACATGTACGTGTGTGTGTGTGCGCGTGTGTGTGTATGTGTGTGTGTGTTCCCCAGAACAGAATAAACCTGGTGGAGCATAAAGCTGCAGGGGATTTTTCTCCCTCCCTCTGCGCCGTGGTAACCGATGCTAAGCACACACCTGGTTTCTACAAAGAGAGGAAATGATGAAGGGATGCAGGAGAACGAGAGCGTAAACACACACAGACACACACTCCAGCCACATCTCAACCGTCACAAGAACAAGCACGGTGATTGGCGTTCTCTTCATCTGAAGCGTTTTCATCCTGATGGGAATTACAGGTTTAACATCCATGAAGGGAGTAGAAGAGAAGGACAGAGGGAGAGATGGAGCACCAGAGTGATGTGTGTGTGTGTAGGCCCACACCGTAGGGAGTGGGCCGGTCCCACACACACACGTGGCTCGGCACGCGGGTTCACACACACAAACGTACAACTTGTTTTTGTGACGCTAAATACTCAATGCAGCCTGCTTTACACGTGTGATCCGGGTTAATGTGTGTGTGTGTGTGTGTGTGTGTGTGTGTGTGTGTGTGTGTGTGTGTGTGTGTGTGTGTGTGGATAACGGGGGCGCTTTATGTCCATACGGTTGCTTTGGCATTCATCTCGTGTTTTATGGGGATTAAAAACGACCCAATGGGCTGAGTGTTAGAGCTTCAAAGAGGGAGGGTGAGGAGGACAGTGTAGGGATGTGATTCAGAGTGTGAGTGTGTTTGTCGTTTTAGTATCATTGGAAGATGCTGTCGAAAATCGCCTAATTTTCACTCGCCGCAATCGGTTTGCAGCTGCAGGACACATTTCCGTCTTGATCAAACATCTTCTCACGCAGACGCAGCTCGGGAGGTCGCCTGGACATTGGAGGCGTCTCTTTTTCCCCTGGAGTTATCACACTTAACATTTTGGTGTGAAGAAGATCCACCCGCCGCCGGGGGTTGAGCCGTTGGGGATTTTGAAAGACAAGAGGCGTGAGAACAGAGAGAAAAAGAGCGGGTTAGTGGGAGGTGCGTGGCTTACCAGTTAATTGGGACGTGATTTTCACCTCGAGACACGGATTAGGGGAGTTCCCCTCCCCCCCCCCCTCAATCCCCACCCCCCCCCGGCCATGCAGGCCTTCAGTGGAACCACTGTCAACGTTCCTCTGGAGGCTTATTTGAATACAGAGTGCATCCTCGATGTGAGATGTTTTGTGAGTGGACCATACCACGGTGGGTTTGGACGGGGGGGGGGGGGCTTACATTGGCAGCACACCGTGTCCTGCCACGTGCTCGCACGCCCATTCAGTTGTAAGGGGCTTTAGATTAGCAGCAGGGGTGACGATGACACAGCCGTGTATCTGCTCTCAGGTTGTGCACGGGGGGGGGGGTGCTCTCTGTGTGCATCCACACAGACGGGCCACCCTCTCAGCAGGCAGACAAACATGCTGAACACCCCCCAGAGTCAATAGCTGGTGACTCAACAAACGACCAGTGTCATGGAACTTTTGGAGTGTGTGTGTGTGTGTGTTCGTTTACGGCAAAACCCTCTCAGCACACAAGTATGACATCCCATTGGCACCGCTGAACACACTTCCCCAAAGGTACAATGAATAATCAAAACAGATCCCACAGCAGCACAGTCACACATCTGCCAAACACACACAGTTTGTTTATGTCACTCTCTCATACACAAGCACAGCATCTACTGTACATGCATGCTCACAGATTTCCTCCAGCTCACTCCACTCCATTAAATGTCCCACATCGGCAGCGGCGAACTCCCACAACTCTTATTCGGGAACAGCCATAAATTATCCATTCCCCTCCAGTTGGCTGCAACTCGCCAGTCAAGTCCTGTTGGACTTCCAAGCTTCAATTATTAAAGGCGTCAAAGTGGTAAAAGTGTAAAAATAACATGGCTGGTGTTTAATGGTTGCAATAAATGGTGTTGGTGCTGTGAGTGGCAAAAACATTCTCCATTTTTTAATGTATTGCTATAGTAAGTGATGTTGATATACTGAAGTTAATGAGGAGGGGTTAATTGTCACAAATTAGATATAAGGATTTATCCCTCAACAGAAGGGATTTCCCCCCAATTTTGATGGACTTGCAAAGTCTCAACAGTCTCATCTTTGCTTTGCTGAGGCAATGGGAAACACTCCAGTGACAGCATTGTTCAGGTTTCCCTCCTCTCCTACAGCACTTGACTTCACTCTGATTTGAGAAAGAGAGGGAGGGAGAGAGAGAGAGAGATCGAGAGAGAGAGAGAAAGAAAGAAGAGGGGCGGTGGAGTCGTGGTGATTGAGCGCAAAAGGGGCAGGACTTTTTCTCTCCGGGTCCTATTAAGAGCAAACTTTTTCTGTTTTTGTTCTCCAAGTTCAGCTCAGTGCTCTCCAGCCTGCACACAATTCGCTTCTGCAGCTGTTTTTCTTTTTCATTTATTTCTGCCGTCTCTTCAATTCCCTGTTTGCTTGCCTTCTGGTTACTACTGTGCGCTTTTTCGTGCCGAATTTGGACACCGGGAGGATGCGCTTTTTGGAGGAACCCGTACTTAAAGTTGTCTCTTCGGCCAGCTGCGGGTTGTTTTAGTGGATACATAGATGCTCTTTGGCTTGGAATAACAATGGTGCGGATCTTTGGTGCTCAAGCTGAGGGTATGCTCTGGTTTCGGCTACTGTTGCTGTGCGTCGTGGAGTTGGAGCTGGGAGCCGGGCTTTCCACTTTCCAGGGTTTCTATCTTCCACCTGCGAACGGGTCGCTTCTCACACCTGCCCGGAGGACGGACGGGGTCGTGCGTACCATTGACCGGATTTACCACGGAGGAGGGAAGGTGGGCTACCTGGTGTACCTGGATGGGAGCAGGTTTCAGCTGGACTTGGAGCGGGACGAGTTGGTGCTGTCGCATCATTTTAGCCCCCAGTATGTGCTCGCTATGATGGGGGGCAGCCACGCGGCTCTGCAGCGGGAGTGCGTGTACCGCGGTACAGTCGACTCCAAACCGGAGTCCCTGGCCGTCTTTAACCTCTGCCGCGGGGGTCTCGAGGGCTTCTTCGCTGTGGACCACGCGCGCTACACCATCGCGCCCATCATCAGGGCAAAAGGACAGGAGCACGACATGCGCGCCCTGCAGGACAAGGACGCAGAGAGCGCGCTCCACGTGTTTACGCGCGAGAGTTTTAGCTTCGAGGCCATGCGCGAAGGGCGCGAGAGCTGCGGGACGCGCGACGGGCGCAGAGGACGCGGGGACGCGGCGGGGAGGCGTCGGTTCAGAGGTCGCGGGAAGGGGAGACGGGACGGAGAGGGGATCGCGGATGAGAGCGCGGCGGAGCACGGCGCGCTCGAGCGGACACGGTGGAGCCGGCTCGCCAGGGCGGCTGCTGCGGAGCACGGCGCGCGGAGCAAGAGGTCGGTCTCTCGCGCCAGGCACGTGGAGCTGCTCCTGGTAGCTGACGAGACCATGGTCCAGAAATACGGCAAGGACCTGAACCACTACCTGCTCACACTCGCCTCCATCGCCTCCAAGCTGTACGGCCACGCGAGCATCGAGAACCCCATCCGGCTGTCGGTGGTGAGAGTGGCCGTGGTCACCGAGAAGGAGAAGGGGCTTGACGTGTCCAAGAACGCGGCGGCCACGCTGAAGAGCTTCTGTAAGTGGCAGAACCAGCAGAACCAGCTGGACGACGACCACCATCAGCACCACGACGCCGCCATCCTCTTCACCAGGCAGGTAAACAAAAACTCCACCGAAACGCACCCTCCACCTGCGTGCGCCGGCGTGACGTCAGGGCTGTGGCTGCAGCACTGGGCTCGTTGAGGGAAAAACAGCTGACACACATTGCCGTTGTCACGTAACAGCAAAGCGGTTTGTTTCGTGCCAGCCGCGAACCGCATGCCCACATTTGCACCACAGTCCATCAGAAGTGAGGACTGCACAAGCACACTCCCACGTGTATCCAGCCCTTCTCTGTTTGCTTTCCCTTCTGCCTCCCCTCTTCTTTTTCGCTGAATCTGTCGTGCGTAATGCAGCGCTGCGGCGTCTGTAAAAGTCCACGAATAAAAAAAATAAAAAAAAACCCACTATTTCCTGTGCATGGTGTTATTCTAGGCATGCTCTTCTGTCTCCAGCCTCCCTCTCCCAGTCCCCTGACAGCCCGAAGGCCGCCAAGTCTGTGATGTGAGGCGCGTGTCCGTGGGCGTGCACGCACATTCTTCCCAGGCCAGGGGGTTTGAAATCAGCTGCTGGATGCATTGCAGAAATGTCCCTAAAACTCCCTCGAAACTGCAGTTAATTAGGTAGTCATCCAAGCCTTGCAATTCCTCCCTTCCTCCTCGCCTCCCCCCCCCTGTTCCTCCCCCCCTCCCTCCGTCTTATCACTCCAGTCTGCACATTTTTTTCCCCAGCTACTTTTCCACCGTCTGTCAGCTGCTGGAAGGTGTCAGAAAAAACAAACTCACCAACCCAGTGAGAAGCCCCGCGTTTCCCCCAGACCACACTCGTGCATCCTGTCTCTCTCGCTGGTCCTCTCCCCTCTCCTCCCGCGCCCCTCCCTGCCAGCTCGCGAAACCGCGAGGCAGCGGTGGGTCCGCGTTGCATTCTCCTGCTCAGCCCAGCTCTCCATCCGGTCGCGGCGCGTTCAGCTCATGCGGGGTCTTGTCGAGGCCCTTGGGTGGAGCAGCAATGGGTGTGTCAGCTCAAGATCTCCAGGGCGTCCCGATGCAAGTCGGCGCGGTCATGCTTTGGCTTTTGCATACCTGAGGTTGCCAACCACCTCGTGGCGGCTTAATGACCCCATTGCTGCCACACCAGCAAGGGCAAGACTGACCGAGTCCAGACCGGAGATTGTGTTATCTTTGGAGGGGTCAGGAGGGCATGAAAGCAGCTACCCAGAGACCTCTACGGGGGACGGGAAGGCAGGGAGTCAAACTGGACATGAATCTAATGAAACATGACATCCGATTTCTCTCTGTTCTTCTTTGGCTTTGATCCTATTTAAATACTCATTTTCACCCTAAAATAACCAAACAATCCGCTTGATTTAATACCGTTTCACCTCCTAGTGGTCCAATTTTGAATGTCTGGACAATGCTGCACAAACCTCTTTCATACAAATGGTCATAGGAAGGCCAGTGCTTCAGGCAGGGGTTTCAACTAGCACAGCGCTCGCATTATTCACAAACCTGTCTACAGACCTTCACTCCTTACATCTCTTCACAATTGAACTCGTGGGGGAGGTGGGGGGCTTCATACTGTAGATGTCACCTGTTTACACAGGAGGCATCCTCTGAGGAACCTTACGAGGGGGGGCCCTGATCCCCGTCTCAGGGTCGCGACCTTCATAAGCCAAACAGAGCAGCCACTTTAACTTTGACCTTTGGACCCTGGCTATAAAAAGGCATTTTCAGGAGGCCGTGTCGCGGCTGAGTGCTTTAGGTTACCTTCGCTTTACCGCGTCGATCGTTTGAACGATCCAACATCTGCGGTTGGGTCGCAGCTAAACCCTGCGGGAGGACGGACGCGTGTTTTCTTTTTGCAACTGTGGCTCCCCATAAAATGCGCTGCACAACGTCGGTCATTTTATAAACAGGATAGAGCTGTTAGAGTTTCCATTGACAGAAGGCCAGTTAGGGAAACGTTGGTTTGGCTCGGGTACCTCGTTCCTCGCTCCGGTTTGGATCGAAAATGCCAAAACATAAAACTACTTTGACTTTCTCGGGAAATTTTGTCATAGTGACTCAGTTCAGACGTGTTACAGGAAACTATGCCGGCCTAATACGCCGGAGTTGTCAAATCTTATTTCACGTGAAAATAAATAACCTTTCTCCTCCGTGCGTTTGGAACCACGCTGAAGTAGAGCCCGGTGTTTGTAGCCCGCTGAACTAGAACCAAAGCTCACTGTGAAGTCAGGCCTGTCCATTGTTCCCATATGAGAGGAGAAGGGCGGGTGGGGGTTCGGTTGGACAGCCCAGGGCTGGAGGGGGACTTGTCTCTTTGTGGCCAGGTCCAATTACTCCAACGCACCGTACCCGCGGTGAGCTGACCCGTACGGCGGTGTCACCCAGTCCCACACATACCAGCACCGGAACAAAACAACGGGGGGCATTGAGGCGGGGGGGGGTGGGGTTGCGGCTGTTCCGGGGTGCGCGTCCGTGTATGTGGGAACATGAAGTGCCGTGCATGGCTGTGTTGGCTTGTTGTGAGCTCTTAGAGGGGACAAAAGCCCCACTGTAAGTTGGCCGGAGATGGCTGTGGAGATGCCGGAGAGAGATTGACCCACTCGTTTGTGTTCATGCTGCTATCTGATGGCGCAGCGTTAGCTCAGATCTTTAGATGGACTTGTGGGTACTTGGGGTGCCAAGTGCCAAATATATTCAAAACTGTATTTTAGAATCAAGTGCATTTAGCTGATTGATTCACACTGAATACAGAGCCCCCATCATTGTGGTGGTCTTACAAGTCATCATTTTTGTTTGATACACCGTTTGCATTTAGGCAACTAGAAGGGAGAGTGTGATGATTTGGAGAAAAAGAAATATTGCATATACGCTTTGAGCTGATGATTCCACAGTCAAAGAACAACATCAGTTCTCAGATGTTCTAATTACAAACCACAATAGCTTGCAGGGACCCAGTGTGCACCTACACACAATCCACTTCCTCCACAGCTGTGTGAAACACCATCCTGTGTCAGTTGGCCTGTGAACATGTGACTAGTTTGGACTCCGCCCTTTCCTGGGCGTTTGTCCTACACCCCCCTCTGTGTGTTTACGCGTGGCTGTGCATTAAAGTGTACATTTCCCAGCCCTCGCCCCCGTCGCGGCTCGTCCCTCTATTTGTTTTTCACTCTTCCCGAGAATTCACACGTGCTACACGTCGTCTGGTGCATGTTGACAACCTGCAGACAGCGCTCGAGAAACCTCGACGCCCAGGTTCCGTCGGCGTACGCAACTGGCCAGTGAGTTCAACGCCCCCCCCGACCCCCCGCCTCAGTATTTCTGTTGCTTTTGATCAGCAGGTCGGTTGCGATCCACCTGCAGGGCGTTTTCGCCACACAGAGGGGGCTAAACTCACTCTGCACGAGAGGTTTGAGTTGGATGTCTGGGTCTGGCTGGCTGTTTGCTTAACACAAGCCTTGGCTTAGATCGCAAGTGGTCTTATTACACACACACACACACACACACACATTCACGGCTCTGATCGCTTCGTGACCTTCACAACCAGCTTGCCACCTGCTCTCGTGTTATTTTTGCCAATATTTCTGTAACTCCTTGTTCTTCTCTTTCATATCCGGCATCCTCCCTCTCGAGCGTCTGATCACCGTGCTTATTTCTCTCTCCCTCCCTCTTTTCAGGAGAGGTAAACTATGCGTGGATAGGGATGTGAGTTTTGGGGTAATGCCCGGTGTTTTCCACTCGTCATCATTTCATTTCTCTAGAGATATTCCAATTTTTCTACTTTTTATCCTCCCACTGTTTTTTTCCAATGAATAAATAAATGAAATCCCTCCATAGTTGTCCGTAGCTTTTCTGCAATAGGAAAAAGTCAAGAAAAACTTCCATGCACGCAGCGAGTGTGTTTGACTCTCTCTGTTGGCCTCTTGTGTATCCAGCAGACACTTGGCAGAAGCAGACACTCTCTTTCTAAGTTCTGTCCGCCTATTTGTGTCTGCAATGCATTTATATGCACCCATTTAACTACATGTACCTCCTATAGTTATGTATGTTTTTGTGTGTGAGAGAGAGAGAGAGGTGGTCCCACCCAGTCAGTCATGTGAATGTGAGCGTGAGGGCAGAACACAAGGCAGTTTGTTTCAAACCCTGAGCAGCCGGCGAGAGGGTAAACAGCCTCTCCAGAGCCAGCAGGCCTGTCAGCACCACTTAACGTGACGATTCATCCTCTCCACAGGAGAGAGAGAGAGAGGGGGGGAGAGACGGCGCAGGGTGCACGTTTGTCTATACGTTTATGTGCGCCGGGCTGCGATGTGGTCGGAACCATTAGCTGATCAATGTCCCCCCGAGAGGCCTCATGTGCACGGGCATGTGTGGGAATCAAAAGATGCGATCGATGCTGTGCACTCTAGAAACCGATGAGGCGGGCGGAGAGGTGGTGGAGGCCGAGGTGGGGGCGGGGGGGTGTTAAAAAGCAGTTTCTAATTGGAAAATACACAGAAAATGACTTTAATATGCCGACTCTGACTTTAACCGAGTGCCAGCGCTGGACTCTCGGAAGCATGCATCACGGGAGGCGTAGCGGCGAGGGCTTTTTTGGAACCAATGATCCGATGCCTGAGGGAGTCTGCCATTAAAGCAGCAGGCCAAACATCCGTCCATTGAGTTTCTGTCTCGTCAAGTTAGATGAGTTTCCGCTCATATTCATGTCGGCGATAAACCCGTTTCATGTTGCGTGTGTGAGCAACGCACGACAGGTCCTCCCTCAAGAAAACAAAGTGAAACAAAGACATTCTCTCCAGTTTCTTTTTGGGGGGTCGTGTATCAACGTAGACTAACAGTGCTCCCTTTGTCCAGGACCTGTGCGGCCACCACTCCTGCGACACCCTCGGCATGGCCGACGTCGGCACCGTCTGCTCCCCAGAGAGAAGCTGCGCCGTCATCGAGGACGACGGGCTGCACGCCGCGTTCACCGTCGCGCACGAGATAGGTAGGCTGGATACGCACACAAACCAAGACGGGGCACGCGGCGGGGCATGCCGTGCACGTCCCTCGTGCTGATGAGTAGTCTTCCTTGTCCCTCCCTCAGGTCACCTGCTGGGTCTGTCCCACGACGACTCCAAGTTCTGCGAGGAGCGCTTCGGCGTGAACAGCGACAAGCGGCTCATGTCCTCCATCCTCACCTCCATCGACGCCTCCAAACCCTGGAGCCGCTGCACCTCGGCCACCATCACGGACTTCTTCGACGACGGCAACGGTGGGTGTGGGACGCCCCCCCCCGGGCGGTGGGATGTTTTTTTGACACACAAATTGCATCCGCGTGGAGAGTTGTTTAAAATCCCATCCATGTGTTAAAGACGTGATGAGTAGCTGAAGATGAGTTATACTTCATCCCAAAGGCATCTAATCAGTCATACGGCTCCTCCCTTTGCATTTTTGTGTTTTCGTTGTTTGGATCTTTCTTATATTTTTCTGGTTTATTTGTAAAAAGAAATTACATGAACAGTATTTGGAGAGCAAGGGAAACACTGTAGTCAAATTCCACACATGCCAATGAAGCAGATTCTGATGATGATCAAAAGGTGTCAATCCCCACGGCTGCAGAGCCCCGTCTGTTAGCACCCTGTCAGAAAAATTCCATTGCCCTCGGCGCAATTCATGTAACAACATAACATTGTCTACAGCGACTTCTGCTGCTTTGGCATTTTCATGAGTGGTACGTTGCACAGGCCTCACTTGTCAAAAAAAATCCTACACAAACGCCAAGTCAAGAGTATGCAGATTGCAGAGCCTTCGTATGAAGTCCTCCAACTCTTTCCTGCCACAGCCGAGTGCCTCCTGGACTCCCCCCGCCAGCCCCTGCTCGGCCCCGAGGAGCTCCCGGGCCAAAGCTACGACGCCGTCCGCCAGTGTCGCCTGGCCTTTGGACCCGAGTACACCGTCTGCCCGGGCATGGACGTGTGCGCCCGCCTGTGGTGCGCCGTGATCCGCCAGGGACAGATGGTGTGTCTGACCAAGAAGCTGCCGGCCGTGGAGGGAACGCCCTGCGGGAAGGGACGCATCTGCCTGCAGGGGAAGTGCGTGGACAAGACCCGCAAGAAGCACTACTCGGTGAGTCAGAATGCGGAGGACGGGGAGATGGGAGGTGACTCCAAAAGCTGATATTGTCCACATTTCAAGGACCCGTCTGATGGAGACGAGTGTCACGGGGGTTTTTTGCTGTATTTATGCCACTGCTGATCTGTGCTATTTGTTTTCTTGGCCTGGCTGAAGCAGATGTAAATTGAATTTGGCCTTAATGTTCAGTTCAAGGACCAAATCCGCTCTTGGCGCGCCGGCGACGCTGTGTGTGTTTGTGTATGTGTCAGAGGGGGAAAGAAAAAAAAGAATGGGAAAGAAATATTTTCTTTTGTGTGTGTTTGTCACATGGCATTTGTCAGATCTGAGTCGATCCTTGGCAGACGGCCGCGTGTGTGTGTGTGTGTGTGTGTGTGTGTGTGTGTGGACGCGGCCCAAGTTTAGACTTTTCAATGCCTGGCTCGACGACCAGTTTGCTGCTTTGCTGAATCTTTTAACCTCTAAGTATGTTTCTTGGAGTGGGAGTGCAGATTAAGTGTCTTTCACTGTGGAAAGTACAACTGTATAACCGGCTCGACGGTGGAACTCAATGGAAAAGCTTTGCCGGGTTATAAAATTGCATTGGTGTCATAAAATGTTAAATGCTACTTATCCAGTCTTTTTGTTTTTTTTATCACCAATGACTCATGGAGCGCTGCTTGGAAAAACACAAAAATAAGGACGTTACCTTTAGAATTTCAATCAGACTGTTCCTCGGGGGAAGCATGTGAGCTGCACCACGGATCCAGTCATGCTGTCATAACGCGAGGCTTTATCACATGGTCACGGCCTCGTTCACTCTCTGTCCGTTTCTCTTCTGCACCACCAAAAATGCCACATTTTTCTCCACCACAAATCTTTCTCCGAGGACCTTCTCTACTGTTGGCGCGTGGCTCGGCCAGCAACCACTTCCAGCATGTCTAATAACCATTAATCACCCTCGCTCATCTCTTTCTTTCCTCTTCTCTCTGATCTCTCCTTCCCTCGATTCCCCCCCCCAATTCTTAATTCCTCTTTCATCTTGCCCTCTCCTCCGTCTCCCAGGCGTCCAACCACGGCAGCTGGAGCTCCTGGGGTCCTTGGGGTGGGTGCTCCAGAACTTGCGGAGGAGGGTTGCAGTTCGCCCAGCGCCCGTGCAACAACCCGCCGCCGCGTAACAACGGCCGCTACTGCGTGGGAAAGAGAGCCATTCATCGGTCCTGCAATGTCACGCCGTGTCCGACATCAAGTGAGTGGGACAGCCCACGGGACGCGTGCACGCTTAGAGTAGCACAGTGCACTGTTTGTTCATAATTCAGCTCTTCATTTCAGATAAGAGTTTCCGGCTGGAGCAATGTGAGGTGCGCAACGGTCCGCAGACGGATCCGAAAGGGATGAAGACCTTCGTTGAGTGGGTGCCCAAGTACGCCGGAGTCCTCCCCAAGGACATGTGCAAGTTGACGTGCAGAGCAAAAGGGACCGGATACTACGTGGTGTTCTCTCAGAGGGTGAGTTAGTGGTGAAAGAAAGAAAGTTTGCAGTGCTTGGCTATATGGATAAGAAGGGCTCATCTAAGCTGACAAAACACAATCATTCTTAGTTTTAGGTGATTATATGCTAATGAACTAATAAACCCTGCCTGTCTTCAGGTGGTAGACGGGACAGAGTGTCGCCCTTACAGCAGCTCGGTCTGCGTGAAAGGGAAGTGTGTGCGGACAGGCTGCGACGGCATCATTGGCTCCAAGCTCCAGTTCGACAAGTGCGGTATTTGTGGAGGGGACAGCACAGGATGCATACGCATCGTGGGCAACTTCACCAAGAAGAGGTAAGGAAAACAGAGGCCCTCAGGGCGCTTATTATTATAATCGAGAACAGCCAAAGGTAGGAATAAGAACTACATTTAGGAAGTAATAATAATTTCTTCCTTTCATTTTCTACAGTAAGGGCTACACTGACGTGGTGAAGATCCCTGCAGGCTCCACCCACGTGAAGGTTCGCCAGCATAAGGCCAAGGACCAGACCCGCTACACAGCCTACCTGGCCCTCCGGCGGCCCAACAACGAGTACCTCCTGAATGGCAAGTTCATGATCTCCACCTCCGAGACGATCATCCCGCTCAACGGTTCTGTGCTCAACTACAGCGGCTGGAGCCAGAGGGACGAGTGGCTTCACAGCATGGGACCCGGGGCCCTCCGAGAGGCCCTGGTGGTCCAGATTCTAGCGACAGACTCCAAAAGGCCTCTGGATGTCCGCTACAGCTTTTTCATGCCCAGACGGACCGCCCCACAGCAGCCCTCCCCTCTGCTCGTCCAGCACCTGAAGCCGACCCCTGTTCAGAGCACCACCAGAGTCTCAAGCACCACCACCACCACCACCACCGGCAGTACCACCACTACAACTTCCTCTGCTCCCTCCGTCCTGGTCCCAGGACCACCGACGACTCCCGGCCCCTCCACCCCAGCTCCCGGGCCCCGTTGGGTAACTGGGTCCTGGATGACGTGCTCCAGGACTTGTGACACCGGCTGGCAGAGCCGGACTGTGCAGTGCAAGGACCAGGATGGGAAACTGTCCAAGGGCTGCACGTTAGGGGCACGACCCTCTGCCTTCAAACACTGTCTGGTGAAGAAATGTTGAGGCGGAAGGAGTTTATCGTGTACATCTGATAAAAGGGTCTCAAGTGCTGGATGTGGGACCGACCCATTTTAGAACCTTAAACAGGACTGTGTCTGTTGGCTGAAAACGCTTGGCCCAGATACCCAGAGACAGATTGTCGTGGATGTACCTGACCGTACGCCGGGCGAAGAATGTCTGGAATCGTAGTAGCTATGCAGAGCACGAGTGCAACGGTGGACAGTGTCAGTGTGATGGTTGCAAGTAACGCCCTGGCGACGCTAACGACTTAAATTGCATGTCATTTCCACATGGACAGTAGATGATTGTCTTTACTTCAGTCTCCGGCCCTAGGAGGCCCAGTGTGTGTTGCCCTGTATTGGCATGCCTGTTTCTTTTTTTATGCTTTTCTAATCACTGTGGGAATGTGGACTTTTTGTCTTTTGCCATGTCATTGTGTCCGAGACAAGAGCCCCCATCGATGAGATGCACCTGAAGTCCTCATGTCTGCCCGTGAAATCAGTAATTGCTCAGGCTGTCTATTTCATTGACCAATTTGAGTGCATCCTTGCAGCACTATAACTAAAACGGGGGTCTCTATACCTTCTGGTTTGCGTCCCAAAACTCTTCCTGTAAATACTTGTATGACCCACTTAAGAGGCTAGAATGTGTAAATGAGATGTGCAAACGGACGGATCAGGGCTACCCATATTCCCTGACATTAAGTGTTCCGCGTCTTTATTCGCCTGATCTGTCCAAGCGGGAAAAAATCGAGAGAAGAAAAAGGGCAGATTTACTGGGAAGCGTTTTCCGTACTAGTGAGCAAGAATGAATGTTGAATCCCAAATCCAGTCCATCTCAAGCTGTTTGGATAAGTCCCTGCCCCCGAGGACACAAGTTACCTGGCAGCATTGACACTAGCGTGGTGGGTGTGTGATGGGATGGACGCATACGCTGGCCCTCAGGCGACAAACTTTATAACAGTTAACCTGACAAAGGGGCGGAGTAACCTCGACACTCCTTAACGTTTATGGAGGCTAAACTTTACTCACAGGTCCAGGGCCATGCTTGATTATTTGTGGGCGGATGTGTGTGTGTGCGTCTGTGTCTGTGTGTGTTTGTATATTTGTTCCGTTTGGATCATTATGCTGGTGCTAGGAGGTTTGCGACCATCATGTTTTGTCTTGGCGGCGAATATCCGTTTTATTGGTCTGTTTTATCTGTTTAGTGTGACAATGTGAGCCCCTGATACTCGCAACGACAGCGATGGCGATACTAACGCCGTCAATAATGTCTTTCTGCAATTCACCTATGTCTTTTCATCACTCATTCTCTATTTTACTACTTTACATTCTGCTTTTATCTGTTTCAAACTGTGTTGGGTGGTGTTTTCACCCTTCGGAACCCTTTCAACCGACAGAATGTGCCACAGAGTAGATTTGGGTCAGTTGACCCAAAATACAAAGAATGGAGGAAGCCCAGTTAATGAACAGCGTTCTAAAAATGACATTTACTATTTTAAGAAAAAACTCTAAAAACAATGCTAAACGGTAACTGGATTGTACTTGTATTTTATAGTCTTCCAACTACTCAAAGTGCTTTTACACGACATGTTATCACTCACCATTCACTTCAGACAATCCACAGACTTCACTGTCAACCAAGTACGTGTATGTACGTCCTGCTAAAGAAACAGCGCTGATACTCTGGGACGCTGATTGTGGAAGTTGATATTGCAGCTGTTCTAAAGAAACTGTTTGACACTTTGGGAAGTATACTTGATTAATTTTCTCGCTAAGAAATAGATCTGAAGAGTGATACCACTCTCATTCCTGAAACTAGAGCCAGGAAATAGTTAGCCTAGCTTAGCATTAATACTTCTAGCCAGGGGAAAGGGTGTGTGTCCAAAGAATAAAAATACGCCAACCAGCAACTCTTGATACTGCTCAATATTATTTGCTTAGTCTGTGCGACAAACGGAGCGTAGTGACAACAATTTGCTCGTTTTATGCTAAGCTAACACACTTCTGGCTCTAGCTCCATATTGAACAGACATGTATGAGTGTGGTGTCAATCTTGTCTTACTCTCAGGAAAGTTAATCTAAATGTAAAATGTATTTTTTTTACCAAGTAGAAAAACAACAATTTGCATCACTAGACACCAGTAGGTGTAAGTGAGGAGATTTGCTTTTGTGTTTATTTTTGGGGAACGTATTCCTGAATATCCTTTACCAAATCTCACAATATCATGCTTTGATTTGGTTATTGTAAGGATACATTAAGAGTGTATACAACATACATTACATATCAAATGTACTTAAATACATACCTGCCTTTAATTGTTTACATTACATTTTCCTGTGTGGCAAGGCCCCCCCCCCTCCCCTCCACATCTGGCACCTGAGGAAGGTCTTCAGAAAGTACATGACCCGGGTCAACAAACCACTCACCCTCCGTCCTCCCTTCTTCCCTCACACATTCACATCTGTTTACACAATGTAGACATTTCTGTACAAAGAGTCGATCTTTCATATACATGTAAGCATTCAACCATATTTACGCAGAAACACACACATACAGACACAGAGAAAACACCCATCAGTCAAGTGTTTCAGAAACCGTAACACACACAAACACACGTACACACACAATCTACTCTGACTCTTCCAGTGGGGAAAGAAAACACAGCACTGAACTTGTAATTTATTGTGTGTACAACTGGTATGTGTGTGAATAAAAAAAACAATAAGATGAGCTTTATTTATTTTAGTAATTTTGTATCATATTACTATTTGACTGAGGAACATGACTCCGCAGAATCATTCCTTTGTGAGAATATAGTGTTTCTTTTCTAGTCATCCACATGAAATATATGTACATAAAATCTATATATTTAAATATCTTTGTGTCTGCGTTGTTCATATAGCAAATGCATCAATATGTTTTATTTATATTGCATGTGTTTTGAATATAGCAAATCCCTCACTATCCGTACACACAAGTTATGATTGTGACTGTGGCCTTTCACCAGAAGCAGTGGTGGAAGAAGTAATCAAAAATAATATTCCGATGCTCTTCTTACTGTAAAGAAAATCTTTGAACGTACAGTAAGTAATTACATAGCTAAACAATAGCAATATAACAATGAAACGTACACACATCTAAAGTAAACATCCACAGTGGCCCGTGGACTGTTATTTGCATTTGATTCAACATGTTAGCAGCATTTTAATGTTGGTGGGAAGATGAATCTATATAACCTCAACATAATGAGATCATATAAAATGGGTACGATGTAAGATGTGGACAGATGTCAATCTCGATCAGTTTCGGTCCACAAATAAAATTCAATAGAAAACAGAAGAGAGTGTCCAGCTCCTGTACATCCATATGTCCCCTAAAACTCTTCATGCCATTAAGTTGCGGCTCTGACCCAAAAATGATTCAGAACCATTGTCACCACAATACATGGCTGTGGCAGTACTGCCTCCACCGGGTCAGTTACGGCCTCCACATTCACAGGCTCCCAGATGTAATGCTAAAGGTGCCCCCTGTTGGCCAAACCTGGGATTGGTCCATGTAGTCATGGAAAATCACTCCAGCAGTGTGGGGAATTTCCAAAACTCGTGCCTACCATCTTCTGGGACATTATGAAATTACAACTGTTCCCTTTTTGTGACCTGTTGGTTTTAAGGTGGACCGCAGTGATCTTTCCCTTCAGAGACTGATCGGTGAGGTTTGCTCCAGTGAGTCACAGGTTAGACAAATCACACGGAGTTATATTTGTTCATTGTGTGTGTGTGTGTGTGTGTGTGTGTGTGTGTGTGTGTGTGTGTGTGTGTGTGTGTGTGTGTGTGTGTGACTTGTTGTAATATCGTATTCATACATTTAAATTATTTTCACACCACATTAAAATATTGAGGGAATAATTGAGTTCAATTTCCCTAAGTAGTTGGTACAGTCTGATTCTTCAAAGTGTTGTAAAACTTGTACGTGGTTTCTCCACATAATTGTATTGCGGCTTCCCAGTTATTCTTAATAAAACTCCAACGTAAACTGTGTGTTGGAGAGAAGGACCAGTCACGGCGGGTGGGGGGGAGGAAGCCGGAGGACAGGGGCTCTGTCTGCCCTGGTTTGAGTGCAGAGGCAGCGGGCTGGGTGGACCGATCTACCTTAAGAACTTAGCGGCCCCCGCTCTGAGCCTCCAAACCCGGCCACGGCGTACCATAGCCGGCTTGGCACGGAGGAATGAGTACGACTCCCGGACCTGCTGCCATCTCCATTCTCCAGTTGCGACTACAACACTGCTCTACATCAGCCTCCGCTGCCTGTCACCCTGATTTATGTTGGAATGGGCAGTTTAATAAAAGGCATGTTGCTAACTGATCCATTATATGTGCACTAATATTACAGGGAAGCCTTTTGGGGAAACTGATCTTAGAAGTATTAGTTGTGGGTCATGGCTGTATTTGTACATAATTGTGAAAGACCAGTTTGAAGAAGCAAATGTTTCTCTGCCCAAAGATCTCTATCCTCTGTTGATTGTCATGGCACCGCTCCAGGTTGGTGCGTTTTCGTTGCGCACGGGACTTGGCCCCTCTCACATCAAAGGGCCCTCGTGAAAGGGGTGGTCCCGAGGCAGGGGGATATATAGGAGGGACCTGCTCTGTTCTGACTGCAAGGCAAGAGCAGAGAACAGACTAAACGGGTCAGCAGAGGAAAAGCCTGCCCCGAATTCAAATAGAGCAGAATCGAGACATCTGCTGAGCTTTGGAGAGAGAGAAGAAACCTGTTGGATTTACCACCGAGATCGAACTTTTGTTTGAATTTATTGAAATAGTTTTTTTTTTCAATAAATCAGAACTGCACATAACTTTAAACAAGTTTTCCACTGGATTTGATCCTTTTTTAGATTTATATGCGTCTGCGTAATTTTGTGGACAGATTTGTGGCTCAGATGCTCGCGGTTTGTAACTTGTAGTGGAAAATCTTTTAAAGGATTTAATTTAAGAGACTTTATCAATTTGTCTTTCCACTTGTCGGATTTCACAGTTGCATGATGAAGTTTTTACAACTTTCCATTGGTTTAATCGCCACTCTGTGCGTCGGCGTGGCGCATAGCGTGTGGGAGGAGAGCACCGTAGTGCCGGTCAGACTAGACCCGACGGCTCGGTCTGACAGCAAAACCGAACCGTGGCGGACTCTCTCTGCGGAGGAGAAAGAGAAGGAGGCGGAGATGAGGGAGTACCGATTGGACGTATTTGGCAAGGAGCTGGTCTTGCAGCTAGAGCCCGACCAGACTTTCTTGGCGCCCGGTTTTGTCTTCCACATCGTGGGGAGCCCTGATACCGACCCGACACAGGAACCCAAGAGCGGAGCCGAGCCGGGTTGCTTCTTTTCTGGTACTGTTAACGGAGAGGAACACTCGGCCGCTGCACTTAACCTGTGCCACGGACTTCGGGGCGGATTCTATTTTCAGGGGGCAGAGTATTTTATTCAGCCCCAGAACTCGATTAACTTCACGGGCACCGAGAAGGATGTCCACGTGATCCGCCGGAGAGATCGGGCTGTTTTGGCAGAGGAGGGGAGCTCCAAGTGTGGGGTCAACGAGGACGAGGAGAAGGTGCCAAAGAATCTGGAGAAAGAAGACCAGCACGGCGCCGCTAACGCAGACCAGACAGGTACGGCTGCAGAGATCTTTGCGCATTTTACGCATTGTTAATCGCTTCAGATTATAGTAAACTAAAATATTTGACCAGCATCCGTAACAAATGGCAATAGACACGGAAAAGGTGATCAACTCGTAATGTATACAAATTTTTCATATAAGTCGTTAGCTGTAGTGTAACATACTGTCCGAACTGCTGTTGTTGTGCGTGTGCCAAAAAGCACGGCATGCGCATCGGACCCGGCTGTCTCTGACAGCGCCGTCTACGCATAACCAGAGATGAAGACGGGAGAGGAGGAGGGTGGCGAACTTCTCCAGGAGGGGAAAGGGGAGGAGGGGGAGTGGCGGAGGAAGGGGAGGAGAGCAGCGGGGTTGGGGCCAGGCACAGCCCGGCAGTGCTGAGTCGCGCGAACTCGCCTCCTGGTACAGACATTTTTCCTATTAGAGGATTTTCTCCCTTCGCATAAATTTCCACCAGAGAAGGTCAGTTTAGGAATGTGGACCTTGAGGAGGAGGAGCCAATGGTGGTGTGACGCTGAGTCACGGAAGCAGGCTCCTCCGGGCACGCACAGAGCTCTCTCTGTAGGCTCCACACAATGAAATTACTACACTGGTCGGGTTTAACAGTGTGCAGACTGGGAAAACGGAATCATGTCTATTATAATGAATAAATGTCTCTCCAGTGGAGTCACGACTGCAATCTGCTCACATGAGCTCCACCTAGTCTGATCTGACCTCCCTTGTGTCTCTCTTCTCTCCCCTCAGAACACCACAGAACCCGGCGCTTTGTTTCCACCCCTCGCTACATGGAGATCATGCTAGTGGCCGACCAGTCCATGGCTGAATTCCATGGCGCCGGGCTCAAGCCCTACCTTCTGACCATCATGGCGGTGGCGTCCCGCCTCTACCGCCACCCTAGCATCCACAACTCCATCAGCCTGGCGGTGGTGAAGCTGCTGGTGGTGTACGAGGAGGAGCGAGGCCCTCAGGTGTCTTCAAACGCTGCCATGACCCTCCGCAACTTCTGCCAGTGGCAGCGGCAGCACAACCCACCCAGCGACCGCCATCCTGAGCATTATGACACCGCTGTGCTCTTCACCAGGACGGTAAGTTTGAGTGAGAGAATGAGAGACAGACAAAGAGGAAGAGTAGCGTTCAAGAGTATTCACACATTGGTTTTACTCCGTGTAGGACTTGTGCGGAGCCCACTCTTGCGACACTCTAGGAATGGCAGATGTTGGCACGGTGTGCGACCCGGAACGAAGCTGCTCAATCATCGAGGACGATGGGCTTCAAGCGGCATTCACCGTGGCACATGAACTGGGTATGTAGAAGTGTAACATCTTATTGATCATTGCGTGCGCCCCTTTTGCAAGAGGTGACAGCTGAACGTCCGCGTCTGTCCTTCCAGGCCACGTCTTCAACATGCCTCACGACGACGCCCAGCTGTGCTCCGGAGTAAACGGGGCCCACTGGGGCTCCCACATGATGGCCTCTACCCTGTCCGACCTGGACCAGCAGCAGCCGTGGTCCCCCTGCTCCGCCCTCATGATCACCACCTTCCTGGACAACGGCCACGGCCAATGCCTGCTGGACAAACCGGTCAAACCTCAGGCGCTCCCACAGCCGCTGCCCGGGACGGTGTACGACGCCGACCACCAGTGTCGGCTCACTTTCGGCGATGACTCCCAGCACTGCACAGACCTGAGCACCGTGTGCGCGGCTCTGTGGTGCACCGTGACCACATCTAACAATTTGCTGGTGTGCCAAACGAAGAACTTCCCCTGGGCCGACGGAACAACATGCGGGCACGACAGCTACTGCCTGGCCGGACACTGTCTCAGTAAGAGCCAAGCCGCCAAACACCAGGTAGGAACCAGCTTAACCACTTCCAAAAAAAAAAAAGAACGCTGTAAAAATCAAAAGCGGTTTTACACCATAGTGTGCAGCTGTGTTTCCAGGGTACGCAATAATAATGCTCATGCCCCCTGTTGCTTTCAGACTCCTGTCAATGGTGGCTGGGGAGTGTGGGGTCCCTGGGGCGACTGCTCTCGAACCTGCGGTGGAGGGGTGCAGTATTCCTTTCGTTCCTGCGAAAACCCGTTGCCCAAAAACGGGGGCAAGTACTGCGAAGGCAAGAGGATCCAGTACCGCTCATGTAGCACGGACACCTGCCCCGAGACCAACGGTACAACACCTTTTGATACACAATATTGTTACATTAAAAAAGGTTCCAAGCACCTTGATGTCATACAAAAATTAAAAACATCTTCCCACCGCATGCTGCAGATGCCACGTTTAGATAAATAGTAAATTGCACATCGGTGTGAAAGTTAGCATGCAGGTCGAACGAGCAGTGAATCTGACCCCTATGTGTTTCTTTCTCAGGCCTGTCATTCCGCGAGGAACAGTGCCTGGCCCACAACGACATGACAGCCCAAGTGTCACTGGGTTCAGGCGAAGGTGTTGAGTGGGTGCCCAAGTATGCTGGAGTTTCACCCAAAGACCGCTGCAAGCTGGTGTGCCGGGCCAAGGGCACTGGGTACTTCTTTGTACTAAAATCCAAGGTGAGAGTGGCTCGATTGAAAAACTTTATTTATTTTTTCAGAATGTGTGTTTATGAGTTTGAGTTTATCCCAAAACAGCCCGCTCACTTGTGCAGAACCTCAGGTTGAATAAAGACTGTAACCTCCTGCCAGGATGCTTACATAACCGTCTTACTAGCCACAGCTCTCAAGTTGCATTTGCGTCTCTCTGCTGCCCACAGGTGGCTGACGGCACGCCCTGCAGCCCAGACTCCACCTCCGTCTGTGTTCAAGGCCAGTGTGTCAAGGCGGGATGCGATCGCGTCATCGGCTCCAGCCGGCGCTTTGATAAGTGCGCCGTGTGTGGAGGAGACGGATCTACCTGCAAGAAAGTGTCTGGCTCTCTGGAGCGTGCCAGGTACGTGCACACGTACATTTCCTCAAACATACTGTGTAACATATGGTGTGATCATTCTTACAACTCCATCTCACCGCCACGCATCTCTGTTTTAGGCCCGGCTACCAGGACGTCGTCACCATCCCTGCTGGTGCCACCCACCTGGACGTCAAGCAGCGCACCCCAGGCAATGGTCGTCAGGACAATAGCTACCTGGCGGTGCGCCGCCAGGACGGGACCTATTTATTGAATGGCGATTACAAGCTGATGACCATGGAGACCGACATTGCCTTGCGAGGGGCCATGTTGCGTTACAGCGGCTCCTCCGCCACCCTGGAGCGCATCCGGAGCTTCGCCCCGCTCCCCGAGCCCATCACCATCCAGGTGCTGTCCGTTGGGGAAGCCCCGAGGCCCCGGGTTAAGTACAGCTATTTCGCCCCGAGACCCAGCAATGCCGCGTCCGTCTCCAACAACAATGGAGGCCGCCGCCATTCCATCAATGCCATCCGTGAGGTGGGCGTAGCCGAGTGGACCCTGAGGGAGTGGGGTCTGTGCTCCCAGACCTGTGGCGGAGGTACGCAGCAGAGAGAGGTGGTTTGCCTGGATCCCCAGGGACGCCTGTCCAGAGACTGCCCGGAGGAGCTGCGTCCCTTGGCCTCCCGGTCCTGCGCCACCCAGTCCTGTCCCTACTGGCTTCTCGGAGAATGGTCAGCGTGCTCCAAGAACTGCGGCCGAGGATTCCGCAAGCGCCAACTGCGCTGCATCGGCCACGACGGGCGCACGCTGACCCACGAGAGCTGTGACCCTAAAGACCGGCCGAAACCCCTTCTGGAACTGTGCAACCAGACTGCCTGTTAAGGAGCCTCCTTTCATACGCCCAGCTTTCAAAAAGACTACAGGTACAAACCTGACCGCCATCGCCTCGCAAAAGAGGCGAGGAAAGAGTGTTTACATCCGAAGCAAGAGTGGCTTTCATGGGTTCCAGGTAGTCCAACAGTCCCACTGCGGGCCCACAACAACAACTGTGTCAATTGAGGCCAATTAGTATCCATTCCCCCCATCCAGATTGGGGCCAGACGTTGGTCCACAGGGGCCCTGCCTCCTAATCGAAGCGATAAAGATCGATTACAGCTCGCCGGCTGTCTGGCACCAGCGCATCAGTGGCACATTATGCCTCCCTTTAGGGGGAAAGAGAGAAAGCATGGGTATTCCTGATTTCCTAAAGGAGCATGCTGCTTACCGTGCCAATGTCACATGTATGTGTGTGTGTGTGTGTGTGCGTGCATGAGTGAGTATGAGACAGCGTGAGTATGTGTGTGTGTGTGTGTGTCATATTATTAATTGCTTGTATGTGATGTTTGTCCAAGCTGGACTGGACAGACACATAAGGGGTTGGGATGGAGAATGTCATTGCAGATTATATATAGAAACAAATGAAAGAGATTAGCTCATATTCTACTTACTCTACCCATCAGGTATGGAAAATAAGATAATAGTCATAGTGTTTATGTTCAAGACAGTTTATTTATCACAAGCCTGTAGCACTTCATCTTTGTTTTTGCCAGCGGCACATTGTAACATCCAGTCAGCCATATCTTGCCCTTGTCTACACAGTCTTCAATGAGGGAGCTCTTCAAAGACCAAAGAGGAGTGTGTGTGTGTGTGTGTGTGTGTGTGTGCGATTGGGTGTGAAGACCTAAAGAGAGACTTGTCTCCTGCTACTACTTCATAAGTAAGTCTCTCCTGCCTTCTGCGAAGGTACCTCGGTTTTCTTTCTAGTCTTTTCCTTTTGTACAGAATATCCAAACTATTTATTTTTGTACAGCCTGTTAAATATAATCATGTGGCTTTTTTAATTTTATTTTTTATTCGTTATTGAGATCACAGAAGGGAGTAGAATATATAGAGTATTTATAGTGTTTTTCATATATATATATATATGGTCCTAGGTTCATGAATAAAGTATCACATTGTCTTCTGAATCTTTGCCTTCAGAGTGGTTTGTCAGTTTGATGTTGGAAGATGCACTGATTTACAGACACACATATTCGTCCACTAGATGGGGGGGGGGGGTTAGGATGTGATCAAATTTGATGAGCCAATCCCTCCGCAGTTTCTAAAGAGTACAGGATTAGGCCGTTTGGTGATGACCGGTGTTGTGTAGAATACCACTTCCTCCTTCCTGAACCTGAACCCACCTTTATCCCGATGATCAGCCTGACTATTCAACAACTGCAATCTCAAGACAACCTGGTTTTTGACCTTGAACGTTTATTTATTATTTTTTTTGTGATCAATCTTCCTTTAAGACCGATAAAAATCAGTGGTGCCTTTTTCGCCTGTAGTCCGACCCGAAGCCCAGACCAGAAAACACCTTCGCGCCAAAGCCCATGCGTCCTGTTGGGCCCCGAGGAAAACGAGCTCCCACTGTAGCACAAAGGATCCCATTATACCATAATCATAAATGGTTAAGAGGAAGATTGTCCCACTTGTGTAATCTTCGTAATGGCATAATGCTTCACCGTAGTCTGTTAATCTAAACAACTGGCATGGGGCCAGGATGTCAGCTGACATTTTGCTGACTTTGCAATAAGACAAAAACAAACACACAGGGAAATGTCTTAAAACGTACGCCTTCGATGTTATACCTGCTTGTTTTTTTGTCCCGTCTCGGCGACACATCCTGGGAGAGGAACATCTGGAAGGCATCATGAATAATGGCAACTCAATGTGGGTGGCATTTCAGAGAGCTGAATTATCTTCATGCTTTTGCCACCTTCTGCTTTCCATAAAGGTTTGTTCAAAACTTCTCCATGATGGCAGAAGAGCTATTGTGTGATTACTTTGTGAGAACATATGTTACTCTTGAATGAGCACCATCTCTCTATGGTGAACTTTCACAGCCTACCAGGGGCCTTTTCAGAGCCGTAATTTAACAGAGAGAGGTGTGTGGGAGTCTGTCACCCATCAAACTTTGTCTGTGTGTGTGTGTGTGTGTGTGTGTGTGTGTGTGTGTGTGTGTGTGTGTGTGTGTGTGCGTGTGTAGGGGCGAAGCAGCAGGGAACTCACGCACATGACTAGAAACCCTTAAAGAGGGTCCCCTTGCTGAAGGGGGGGGGGCTGACATATCCAGATTCAAACCGGAAAACCTTAAATTGTGCCTTCAAATTAAAAGCGCACATGAACAGCTAATCGATTGAAAGTGTTACTAATATACTTCCTTATTCAACACAAATGGTTTCCAACAACTATGACCGCCTCAACGTTTAGTGATGACACTGACTTTTTTTTTGAATTCTTATGACCATTCATATGTATTTCAGTGAAATATAAACGAATCGAAACGAAATATTTCAGAATAATATACACTGCTACGTCAGTTATTATGATATTTTGACCCCCCCTGTGTAAACTCAACGAGGTAATTCGAGCAAACGGGCGCCGAGGGGAAGGGAAGGGGGAGGGAGGGAGGGGAATAAAAGCCCGAGCAGACAGCCAGAGGTGTGCGAACAGAACGGAACAGCGGCAGGAAAGACGCGCACACGTGGAGCGAGAAACGGGGCATCGCATAGAAAAGGAGAATATCGCAAAAACTCCCAACGAGCGGTCGGTTAATGTCTTCGGGGCGGGAGGGGGGACAACAATGCTCCCCGCGGCAGCCACATAGGTGACTGAAAAAGACGCGACTTTTTGTCGTCTTCTGCCCCCCAAAAAAAGCGACCCACGGAAAGTGGGCGCGCGGGGGGAGGAGAAGGGTCATGGAAGCCCCCCGCGGGATGCCGAGGACAAGGAGGGAGGGGACGCTGGCGCTGCGATGGAAGTTGCTGAGGAACTCTTTGCTGCTTTGTTTACTCACCGGTGAGTCTTTCAACCCGCTCGCTATTTTCAGCCAGATGTTTGTAATCGGCCGCTTCTTTATGCCGCGTGGAAGACTTACACCAGATGTGTACTGCTCTTTTTATTTAAAGCACGTTTTTGGGGGGGAGACCCACTTTATTTTGTTTGTTACTTTGTTTTTCATCCTTTAAATTACGCCCACAACAAAAATCTGAGCCATATCTTGTGGGGGGGTATAGCAGTGTGTGTGCGTGTTAGTAAATGGGTGGGGGTGGAAGGACGTGGGGCAATTGTCTCCAAGCGTGTGGAGAGACAGGACCCGGGACCCCCGAGGACCACCCATGCAGAGTTGTGCTGGTGGGACCTCCTGTGGGCATTTACATGGAAATATCACAGCTTTTTGGTCGGGGTGTGGTTTAACATCTAAAAAGTGGGTTCAGTGGGGTCGATGATACAAAGGAAACATCCACCTACTAAAGGAAACAACAATTAAACAATTTATTCGAAACAAATGCATATTCTTTCAAATCACAACAAAAAAAGTATATGCTATATATGGATTTAAATTTAGACATTTAAGGTGCTGACTTTTCTTCAGCTTAAATGTGTGCACCATCCCTTTTCTCCAATGCAAACTCACTTCACCATCTACACTTGCTGCCCTAATTAAAAGGCATCGACTCCTCTACCACAACGTGACCTCTGGAAATGTGCATTCATGCCTCCAGGCGCATATCATTTGAGTGAGTGACTGCTGACGGAAAGCAGATCTTCCACTAACACACGCATGCACAGTGCTTGTTTTCTTTGCAGTGTCCTTCATTAGGTAGTGCACGCTCTGGATTACCATGTGAAACAAAGTAAAAAAGCAAACAGAAAAGCCCTCTGATGAAAACGGCCCGTGTCACGGCAGCAGGTTGAGACGAGCGTGCAGCAAAGCACAGCTGTGTGCACATTGCTTATGGATATGGAAGCTTTTATGGAAGAGGGGGAACGGGTGGTGATCGTGGTGTTGGTTGTAATAAACCACCATAACCACACACACAGACACAAAAGTGCATGTAACCGATCCTGCAAATGCCATGTCTGCTCGCCGCAGATGCGATGGGGTGGTTACGTGCAATGGTTGAGTTGGGGGATTCAACCGGAGACCCCTCCGGGCCTTCTAATGCAGCCCACTTCCCTCCTCCGTCCTCCCCATGTATTGATTGCTTCTTTTTTGAAAGTGAACAAGTGGTTTCTCCGGTTCTGCCCAAACAAAAGGTCCGTCCTCGCGCTTCTAAGACCCGGCCTTCAGTATAAATCTAGACTGCTGTTGTGTGTTTTTGTGGTTGGTGCATGAAAGGTTTCATTCTACTTCCTTTGTCATCAAAAATGAAAACGACAAAGCGCTTCTCTTTATTCCAGCCGGACACCAACCACTTAATACAAATGCGCCCGGTGATGTCATCACTCCTGTGTTTTCACGGCCATCTTTCTATTCACAGTGTTCAACCGTTTGTTCTTTTTTGGAACGCTCATTTCACTCGGCTGCATAACAAACTGCTTTTAATCCCGCCCGCGGCAGGCGGCGGTGAAGCCCGGTGTGACGGCTGCGTGGAGTACTGCTGCGGCGGATCGCCGCCTTTCTGCTGCTCCTACTACGCCTACGTGGGGGACGTCCTCTCGTGAGTTACACACACACCCACACACACACAAAATGCCTCTCTGCATACACACGCCTTAAGGTTTGGAGTTCTGCACCGAATGGGACTTGAAGACTGAGTTCCACGCCAGCTGTTTTTAAACGCGTCAGAGGATCTGACCTTTGACCCCTGCTCGCCGTGAGTCAGCATTGCTGCAATTAAGTGTGTGTGTGTGTGTGTGTGCGCGCTGCAGGGGCACGGCCATCTCCGGCATCGTGTTCGGCGTGGTGTTTCTGATGGGGGCGGTGGCGGCTCTCTTCCTGTGCGTGTGCATGTGCATGAAGAACGGCCGGGGGGCACGGGTCGGCGTGTTCAGCACCTCCTACATCAACACCGTGACCCAGAGCTACCCAGGTCAGTATACAGAGGTGACACACACACATACACACACTTTTTTTAAAGGATGCAAAGGAGCCAAACGGATTCATCAAGTTTCATAAATAATTTCAATACAGAGGCATTTTCTACCACTTCAAAACTCTTTAAAGTTTGACAGTTCTGCAGGACTTGACTTACTTTTTAATTTGAAATAAAGAATAAACCCCTTTTTAAACTATGACGGGGTGGAAAAATAGTTCAGACTTAATCCATCCCACATGCAGTTTTACAGTTTTCAAAGCCAAAATATTTTGCACAATAAAAGTTGTCCGTATCATTCATAATCACTAGTATCTTCATGCGTAAATCCTTCCTCGGTGCAAGTAAAGCGTTAGTTATAAACGTAGTACCGATTCACCGATTGACCCCAATAAAAACAACGGCTGGACCATCTTTGCTAGATTATCACACGCATTGGCCCCATCTACGCAACGGTCAACCAGAGTCGTCCATTTGTCCCTGAGGCGTCTCCTCTCCTGTCCATGAAAAGAGGAATAGGAGCACCGTGTTACGGGATCCACCTCTGCCTCGAGCACTATTCCTGCACAGCAAAACAAAGAGAGCGCTGATTAAGGGAAGGGCTTCACACGGCTCCCTTTCCGGTATTTCTTGCTCGATTTACAAATGGAATCCCCTCCCCCCCCAAGGCGCCTCTCCGCGCTTCTCAGGTACATCAGAGTCTGTCCGCTGTGCCACTCTCCGGCCCCCAGGCATATCCTGCAGCCGCTTGTTTTGGGCGCTCCTCGCTTATTCATCACGTTTTGTAAACGTGGCGCTCCAACACACTGAGCCGTGCGACATGAACGTGTAGCTACAGGGATATGAATTTTTTGTCCTGATGAAGTATGTGAGGAGATTTTGTTTTCTTCCATGACTAACCTATATCAAGCGTGCTGTTTTCTCAACCTGCACAGTTTCATTATGAGCTTTACCACGTTGAGGTTATTAAGAGTAGAGTCATAAATGTGAGGTTTTGCTGATGCAGCGCTTTGGTTGGGAGGCCGTCCCGGCTGACTCCATTCGTCTTTTCTTTCATCTCTACTGCTTTTATATTTTAGTGAATAATGCAAGTTCCCCTGATGTGATGGCTGCATTGTGGTCAATCAAAGGAGTCTTTTGCTTTGGTATTTCTAATCTTTTAATAATCAAAGCATCTTCCTCCACAGGGTGCAGTGTTGGGTTCTAACCACTAGGTGGTGCAATAGTCCCATCTAACTCTTCGTAAACGAGGAGGCCGTTTTCGTCCCTTTTCTTTCTATCTACTTGGCTAAACTTTTATTAAATTTTCTCTGCCGACTTCAGGTCCTCCACCTCCATACACCTACGACTACGAGATGTACCCCGGCCCTCCGCCTTACACCCCAACTCAGCCACGGCCGGCCCACTCCTCGCCGCCTCCTCCGTACCCCGGCTGCACCCACAAGTGAAGCCCTGCAGCACGGACGATCCACCGGCCAGTTTTAAAGAACTTGCATTGGTTGCGAGTAGAAAGGAGGTGGCAGGAAGAGGGGGGGGGTTAAAGACAATTTCAGGGTTGCCCAGTGCAATATTGTTCGGCAAGGCACAATTCCCATCTCCGTGCCTGCAGGGTGTGTGAATGTCCATTTCTGCTGCGGCCTGTGGACCAAATGGTGGGCAGGACTGTCTTTCCAGGATACACAATGTGGCTTTTAGGGAGGGTTAATGATTTAAAACTTTCGAAACTATTCAGGTGGGGCAAAGACTATTTGCCAATTGCAATTCCTTTGAACTGTCATTCAAAGGACTGAGTGGTTACAGTCTATTGTTGTTCTGGGCGGAGGGGGTTACTGCCTAACTTGAAACAATGTGAAGGTGAGATGGGGGTCACCTCATGTGCATTTGAGAAGGGGGGGGGGGTTGCCTTTTGTCAGATTATTCTATACTAAAGCATACTTTATTTTAATTTCAGTTATAGTATAAAGTGATCCGACCTCCCTGTGCTGATGACTGAATGATTTAATTGTAACAATTAGTGTCCGGTTAATGATTTTTTTGCCTTTCTTTGATGTTTTCATCTACTGTGTTGTAAAATAAAAGCTGATTTAAAATGTGGGATCTTTCAATTTTTCCCCTCCTGTGTGTGCGTGATGGACAAACAGCGTATGCGCGTACTCTGCGCGGGCGCGCGCGCGTTAATCCCCGCTCCGCCGCGGTCAGGTGATCCGTCGCTCAGCAGCTGTGCAGCCTCGGCATCGACCACACAACGCGGGAGTCACCGGCGCCGAACACAGCGGCTCCTCAACACCCCGACGCGAAAACCTCCAGACCGCCGCGGTCCAAACGCTGCCTTTTCACGGCGTCGTGTCAGCGGAACGAGATGGCGCAACGAGTGGCTCTAGTGGCGCTGCTGCTGGCTGCGGCGGCTCCGGCTCTGGCTGCCGAGGTAAGGAAGAAATAAACCCCGTTGGCTTTTTTTGGGAAGTATTTCCACCATATTGCCGCTGTCGAGCTGCGTCAAGCAGGAGGGATTTACCGCAGAGAGACCGGAAGCGGGCGGTCCGACGCGACGGAGCTAAAGTTTAGCTGATGTGAGGGAGGAAGGAGGGCATTGTTACATTTATTAACCGAAAGATTTGAGCATAATTTATTATTATTCTACTTGACCGACTTTCTTAACGATATGCAGTGTATTCGTTGTATGTAGGTTAGGAAAATAAAAGCACATCCGCGGACTGTAGGGTCTTAACCGGAAGTGTTGCGTAAAAGCACGTTCAGCTTGACACGTTGTGATTTCTTGGATTTTTCTAAACCGCTCAGTGTTTTACAACAACTAAAACATATATATATTAGTGTTTGGCGTTGGTTTTCATTTGTAACAAACGCATCTGTGAGTACGACATATGAACAAAATGTGTATTTATTTAACGGTTTTTCCCCCTGTTTTTCCGATTCGGGCAGTCCCTTTAAGCCTGCTGCGACTGATGCGTCGAGACGAGAATGACACGTTTTGTAATGTCTCCTTTCCCTTTGTTTGATATATTCGTTAAAAGTGGCGTTTTCCTCCGCTTCAGAAATACCAAACGCAAGCAATCGGCGTTAACACATTATATCCCCGAGTAACACAAGTGGCTCCGCAACATATCGTCCTGAAACAACCGTTTAGTGCTCATTCGGGCTAATTTGATGTCACCTTTTTCGTACCCCGGGGGGCAGATTCTAGGAGTGGGCGTGTTTTTTTAGGGGGGGGGGGGGGGTAATAAAACTAAATCGGGAAGACGTCTCGCTGCTTCACGACCCGACGCCTGATTCTGTTGCTTGGCGGCGTCAAATAAACCCGTGGAGATGACCGCATACTATGAAGGGAAAAACCCGACCCCCCCCCCCCCCCCGGAAATTAAAAAAGAACCCCGTTATATTTTTGTCAGAAGGGGGGGAGAAAAGCGAAGTAAGAAGGGGGGCGGTGGCCCGGCGCATTTTAGAGAGTCACGGAAATGGGAAGCTTTGACTGCCGTTGTTTCCCTTTCAAGCTTCCCCCCCTCGCCCCCCCCACAAACGTTTGGTGTGATCATAGTCATTGTTGTACACGCGAGTTGTTCTCTATTAATGTCAGCGGACCCCTTGTTTGTTTTTTACAAAGAGAAAAAAAAAATCCCAGCTCATGTATTTATTCAGGCGTCTCTCGCTTTGTGCGCGAGCGGTGCAAAAGTAGCTATTTTAACCCGCGTCAAATGTAGCACAACAAATTGCTGTGATTTATCGGACTCGCGCAAGATGTGTGTCACGTGATACCTGTGTCATTTCCTCAATGTTTTAACAGTCAACATTATATATAATATGAATATTCTCCATTTTGAAAAAACTGATTTGCAGTTTCCTTATTTCCTTTCCTACATCTATTCTATGTATCTCTCAGGCCTCCCCTGTGAGGGAAGTGACACATTCCTGTGGTCCAGTGGTTACACAATCATAGCATACCGACACACACACGATGAATGACTTGAAATGGATCGATGGTGCCGCACAATGGCTTCTATCCCACCTCGGGAGGTTTTTTTTTGCTGTCTCTGCCGTTTTTCCGCTCTCGTCTCTCCACCAGATGATCCAGGGGTAACGTGGCGGCGGACGCGGCCCGTGATGGGCTCCTCCCGCTCGTCGAGGCCTTTCCCGTTATTTGCCTCTTTTTTTTTTTTTTCTTTTTTCGCCCAGCTCAGAACCGTTTCATGAGACGGGACGAGTCGTTTCCAACTTCCGCAGGGCGCTCTCGCGGGATCGAACCCGGCTCGGCCATGAGACCGTTTGCCAAAGATATGTGTGTCTTGATCTCGTTGGCGGGAGCTTGTTTACGGCCTCCACAAACACACTGGCTCGCGGGAAGTGTGGAGCGTGGGAGTTTGGATGCCAGCCTTTCTGTGTGTTAGCGAAACCTTTAGAAAGGGGCTCCTGGGTGGGTGCCGTCCGCCGGTTTGTGTGCACACACGCTGCAGTCTCTGAAATCAGGGTCAACTGAGGCGAATGTCCTGAATAATTCAGTTTCTCAATATCTGGATCTTTTTTTCTCATTGTTTACTGACCTGCTAGCTAACCAAAAACTCATTTATGCTTTTGATTTTTATGTTGTCAAGCCCAGGGGCGGCTGCTTACGGACATTTTATTATAATGTATCCAGCACTAAAGCAATCGCTTAATTTATCTGTCCCTTTTCGGGGTTATTTAATCGTGATATGTGTTTTCTTTAACCAAAAATGGAATATTTGAATATCTTTGCATATTAGTACGTTCGTGGGACAAAACAAGGCATTCTGATTTGAATATTCATTTAATTAAGTCCAAAATGGCCAAACTTGCTGCTTTCAGATTCTAAAACCAGGTAATCTCTCCCTGGTTTCTCAAGGCCGAATTTAATACCTTTGGGGTTTTTAGACTGCTGTTGAGCAATTTAAACAACATTCCATTTGCTCTCAGAACTCTGCTAACAAAAAATACATCTTTCAAACAGGACAAATAAATCCACAAAAAACATTCGGTCTGCAGTCAGAAAAACCGGCGGCAGTCCGTCCCGTCTCTGTGGTTATATCAGTGTGTCATCCTCCTCGTGCCGGTCTGGGCTCATCTCTGTAAACATTATTAAAAGGTATTTAATGAGAACGAGTTTGTCTCCAGCGCTCCACGGTCATCGTTTCTTTCTCTCATTTTTTATTTAAAAGAAAAGCATCCAACCGGCCCAAAAAGAGACGTCTGTAAAAAGAAAAGAAAAGAGGCCTTGTTCAAACAGGACACATTGTCCATCTTAGTTGTGTCAACATCAATGACACCGCAGCGCAGCCAATTAATGTCTCCCCCTCCGCCCGTCCCGGAGGAAAGAATTCCTGACCTTTTTGATGCTGCTGTTTTGGTTGTCATGGTTCTTGGAAACGGCGACCCGTTGTCTTTTTTTTCTTTTTTTTGGATGCGTTTCTCGGGCAGCGATGTGAATCGAGGGGCGAGCACCGAAGACGCTTCCGCCCGCTGAACTCTGCCGCCTTCAAGCATCGTCGTCTTACTCCCCGAGTGGTTTCTGCACGTCCATAGTGTGTTTTCCCCAACAGAAAGGTGTCCCCCCACCCCCCCCAGCATTTCAAAGCATGATAGGAATCTGGCGCCGCTGCTTTCACCGGTAACAGGCCGCAGCGCGGCTCAAAGGCCGGCTTTGTGCGGCGCAACCCGGCCTCTGAATGACTCACTGTGCGTCAGTGCCAGGAGGTGAGATTGGATCCGACAAGAACCTGACGGCGTAAGAAGCCTCTCGGGAGAACTTTCCGAGTTCACAGCGACGGGGGCGCCCCGGACTGAGGTGGAGTTATCGCGCTCCGCCTCGTCCCGCTCACGAATTACCTCTGCCGGGGAGAGCGCGTAACCATCGCCGAGGCAACACGCCGTCCCGCCTCCCCCTACCTCCCGCGTTGGCCGCCAGTCTCCCTCAAGGCGCGCACACACACACACACACACCTCGTGTTCATCCACACGTGGCCTCCATCTAAAGGGTGTTTCTCCCACCGAGAAGCCGCCGCAAAGGCCGCGATAATTCTGACCCAGGCCGAAACATTCAGTGTTTCCCCAAAGGCTTCCAACGTCCCGCCCGCCACTCCGAGGTGTCGGACTCGATTTAGAGGAGCCCGGCTCGCCGCAAAGTGGGTTCGACAAAGCGTCTCTGTGGTTAAGTTGTTGATGTCTGCTCCCTTCTCGTGTTTACCACCTGCCTGTTGACTGTCAATAAACAGGCTTCAGTAAGGTTAAATATAGCCAGACAGGATCTTCCTTGTTAGGATAAGGGAACTATATCCCTGTAAAACGACGTGTCCCAAGATTGTAAATGACATTACTGCCCGCAGAAGTTGTATTTGAGTCTGACATCCGACATGTTCGTATAGTTCTTGTGAATTTAATACAAATGTGAGTTGAATGTGTAAGGCGTGTGTTCGGCAGCCACGGAGAACTCCAGACGTGTGCCAGATGCAGTGGATGTTCTAAGCAAAAGTCAAAGAACAGTAATTGAAATTAAAATGGAATGGCCATCAAACACGACCAGGGGTATTAGAAGAACGTTGGTGTTTTATTATCCGAGCGGATTCAGACGGGATCTTGAATGAAGATGATTTATTTCATCTTGGCAGTTTAATATGAGACGATCAAGCATCTCCGTCGAAAGCAACGCGAAGCATCACTCGCGCCGCGTGAATATTTCCTGGAACCACAGTGGAGCTTCACTCTCCGTGGCCTCTGTTTCCTTCCGCCCAGCATTTCGACGCGCTGGTCCTTTCCGTGACACGGCGCCGCACTAACAAACCGCTTCGCCGCGCCGCGTCACCGATGCCCGGCGAGGTTTGCAGACTCATTATTTCAGTGAATCTTCACGTTTTCTTGCATAATTGATGAATCCCTCTTGGTTTCACCACCACGGAAAATACCCTCGGGGGTTCTTTGTTTTTCGAGGGGTCGCATCCCTCCACTAACCAAAATCATCGCCACCCCCCCCCCACCCTTCCTCAACCCCCCCTCTTCCCGTGTCTCTGCGCACCGTCCCCGGTGGTTGGAGCCCGGGTTCCTGCTGCTGCCTCTACAATTAAGCCGCTGTGTGTTATTCCCAATGTTCTCCCTCCAGGCCTCCCCCGCTCCCTCCTCCCACCATTTTCCACCCGAGCGATTCCTCACCCCCCCAACTCCCCCCATCCCCTTCAAACGCTGTGTCATCCATACGGCGTGTTCCTGATGTGCCCTCAGCTTGAGCGTCACCGTTCAGAAGGTTTATGAAACTGGTTCCTCCTCTTCGAGTCGGGCGACGCGCCATCAACTGTGGAGGACGAGTCCTCTCGGAGTCCAGGTGTGAAATTGGAACACTTGCAGGCTGGGTTTAGAAGTGTGTGTGTGTGCGCGTGCGTGCGTGCAAACGAGAAGACCGAAGTGAGA